CCAGATATTGCTTATTTTTATTATTTATGCATATATTTTTTAGTGCAAATGAATCTGAAGGGTTTTTGCTTGTTTAAAAGTCTTCCAAGGCCAGTGTGATAGTAGAGTGGGTTAGGCACTTGCCTTAGGTTTGATTACTGTACCACATATGGTCCCCTGAGCACTACCAGAAGTGATTCCTGAGTTTAAACCAACTTGATTGTTGGTGTGGCCCTAAAATTTAGGGGAAAAAAGGTTTTCAGCTTTAATCCTTTAGCCCCTCCCCCTTGGCACTTGCAGACCTCTGACTTGGAGCCGGTCAGAAACTGAATAATCATAAATTTCCAATAAAAAATGGCCTCTAATTTTGTGACCACATTGTAAAAAAAATGGTGAAGAAATAGAATGAAAAGTGTTAAAAAGTTTAAGTGGAGCTTTAAGGTGTTTCTTTTTGGTTCTTGCCATTTTGATTGCAATATGTCTTGGTATTGTTCTGTTTGAGTTTATTTTGGGGAAATCTTGAGCGTCCCAGATGAGAACACAAATCTTTTCCCTCAGACTGGGGAAGTTTGCAGCTATTGTCTCAAATTTTCTTTATGTATTTTAAAATTTTTTAAAGACTTTTTCTTTATTGATGATATTGTTTGCCTTCTCTTCGAGGCCACTAAATCAATTTGTTGTTGTTGTTTTTGGGACACACCTGGCTGTGCTCAAGACTTACGCCTGGTTCTGCACTCAGGGATTACTCCTGGCAGGCTCCGGAGTCTTATGGGGTGACGGGGATTGAACCTAGGTCAGCTTCTTGCAAGGCAAAAACCTTATCCACTGTACTATCACTCCAACCCCATACATTCCGTTTTTGGCTCCTTCCATTCTGCTTCTGAATTAAGCTACTGTGATCTTTAGATTCTTTATTTGTATGAATAAGTTCATTAATTTTTTTTTATCAGTCTCTCTTTAAGTTCACTGAACTTTCCAATGGTTTCCTCAACTCAGAGAACACTAAGAGAATTATTGCTCTGAAGCAATATCCTCAGGCAGTATTCAAAGTTCTGTTATACTTGAAAACTTTCCTGGGCTTCTGTGCCTATCTGTTGACACAGCTGTTTTGGGTTCTTTTTTTTTTCCCCCTCCTCATTATTTCTTGTACTACATGGGAACTAAGGATGGAGTGGTGAGTCCTCAGGTGGACTGAGCAGGAATCTGATGATCCTATTCACAACATCAGGTTAGTGTCTACTAACTGACTACTGATTTCTAGCCTTGTGAGGATTTCTTAAATGTTTGCAAGATCAAAATGGTTCCAATGGTTCTAATTCGTGCGCACCCAGATAACAACAGGGAGTTTGTGGCGCTAAAGTTCATGCTGGGACAGCATCTGACTGTGCTGGCTCCCACAAGACTCAGAAATGTACACTGGTACAAGGGACAGGTGTTGGAACATTTTATGACTGAAAACCAATCCTGAACAACTTTGTAACTGTATCTAACTGAACAAAAAGGAAAAAAAGGAGAAAAAAATAAGACTCAGACAAAATTCGCCTCAGGGAGAGCTAGTATAAACCACTGTTGTTCTGTAAATCCTCTTCATTCAGCACACTCCCATCCCTGGTTGCCATTTCCTGCCTGGCTTATCAGACTTGCTAATACCGTTTCTGTCTCTTATTCTCCCCTCCCCTCACCAGAGGGAGCACTCTTTAGCCCTGAATTTGTCCACAGTTCTTTGTTTTGTAGAGTTGAGTCTCCCTGAGATGATGGTTGTTCTCTGCAGTGGATTTTCTCAGTGAGACCCCTTGTGATCTGTTTAGTTTTTATGCCTTCTTTGTGTTCACTGCCATAGTAGCTCTGACAGATATATTCCTTTTCTGCTATCTTCCCACCCTTCAACACTGGGGTTTTTGTTGTTGTTAATGTTGTTGTTGTTGTTGTTAGGGACTAACTTGTGACGATAACTGCAACTATATTATTTTTGAGACATTTGCACAGAAATATTTATCATTGAATGGAAGAAATGTAGGCACAAAAATATAATGCATAATGAATTAGCCTCAGATATAACATAAGATTCTTAACGTTGAGTGTAGTCAGAGAGCATATAAGGGACCTGGGGATGGCTCAGTGGCAAAAGTGCCTGCCTTGCAAGTGCGAGGCAGGCAGTGCAATCCCTTAGTGTAGCCCACATACATCAATTATGGTACTTCTGTTTGGGACCCTCAGCGCCACCAGACTGTGCAATCTCCACTGAATGATATGTGACCTCCACTGAGTATGTACAAGAACACAACGAAAATGTGTGATCCTCAGTAAGCACCAGAGAACCAGTGGTGAGTTAAAAGTGAGCAAGCTCTGGTGAGCTCCATGCCTGAATGTTCAAGTACTACAAACAGATGTGCAACACTGGTGAGCACAATCAAGCCTGTGTACAAACACCACCCACCACCCCTTTTAGTGAAACCACAACAAAGGAAAAGAAAGGTGTGTGTGGGGGGGGGGGGAATAAATAAATCTAGCACAGAATTAACATTTCCTTAGTTAATGTAACCAATTTTTTAAAAGTTTCAATTGTAAGTTAAAATATTGTTACATTATTAGTAAAAAAATACCTTATTTTATGATTCTAGAACTTTGCTAAAATTTGCCAGTTTTAAAGTTATGTGCATTAATGGTTTGGCTCATCAAAATACATGAATGAAAATTTCAACTGTAATAAAATCATAAAATATAAAAATTTTTAAACCCTCAAACAATGCAGAAAAATCAAATTGCAAAAAGCATTTAAATCCAGTCTATCCAGAAATATCAATTAAAACGAGCATTTCTAACTATATGTACATCTGCACAAGTATAAAAGTAGCTTCTACACAAATATAAAAATAGCTTCTGGCACCTACTAACCACAGGGTCACACTTCTTAGTTTTTCTGTTACCTGTTACTTGTGTAACTAAGACCCAAAATTAAGTGCCCTCATTGAACACATGTAACTGAACTTTCTCTTTAGACATGGATGGTTCTACAATATATGGCATTTTAATGAAAATTTGTACCTTTAATGAATTTTTCTTGAATTTGGTACAACGAAAAAATCTTGAAGTAGAAATTTTTTTTTCAAAAAAAAAAGAATTTTTTTTTTCTATATTTGAAACCACTTGTTCTCTGGAGTAACCCCTAGGAACCTGCCAGGTATGGCCCCTAAACAAAACAAAAAAGCTATTAAGGAAATATTTTTATTAACATGAAGGGTACTGCTTTCTAAAAGCCCTTTTTAAGAAATTACGAAAACTTCTTTGAAGTAGGAGTTGCAGCTTATTCCCCCCCACCATACCTGGTAGTAGTGGGGAGGGTGTCAAATGTTATGAGTGGGAATCAAATTGGGGCCAGCTGCATGCAAGGCAAACACCTTCTCTCCTGTGCTGTCTCTTCAGTCCAGGAATTGTTTTTAAAAACCGATATTAAATTTTAGGTAGTAAAGATAGGTATCAGTACTCAGATGTTTTGTCTTCACAACATTCCTGTTGCATTTATTTTTATTCAGGTTTATAATATTCATATTCTAGTCTGTTACCACTAATTTTCATAGTTGCTTAGAACCAGTAAAATTACATATTAAGGGCACAACTACACGGCAAAGTAAATTTCATACAGGCCAGGTGGGTTACTTGTTTTGTTCACTGTTACATACAAAGTAACTGAAAGAGTAGAATACATATATAGAAAGTAATAAATACATTTTACATTATTTTACCATGGTTATCCACTTTCTTAATTTAAAATATTCTCTCTGAGGCTTGTTTTCCTGTCACATTCTGTGGCGCTTAGGGCTACTCCTTGTTTGAGGCACAGGAGTTACCCCATGCTTGCGATATTGGAGGCTGTCCAATAAATATAAAATATTTTAGAAATATTTAAAAAAAAATATTGTCCTTGATGGCTGGGTTTAAATTTTGTATATGTGTTAGTATACATGTAAACATGTAGTTTTTTTTCCTTAATGAAGAAGCCCTTCGGGAAGACTTATTCTTCCTCTTAGATATTTCTAGAATACTTTACATCGTTCAAAATGCTGTAAGTGATATTAAGGAGCATTGGGCTATATACTGGTCTTTGATGTAAATATACTTTTGAACAGTATAACTGGGTATATATATTTAAAATTTTTTTAACCCTTACAATGCTGTTCCTGATTAGGTTTCAGTCATAGAGTGTTCCAACACCCATAACTGGGTATACCTAAAGGAAATATATCAGGGAAACCCCCCAGACGCCATCCTACTGGCAAGGAGTGGCAGCTGTGGTAAGGGGCAGTGTTAAGATTACATTTAGTGCACTTTGAATTATTATTATTTTTCTAGCCTCATAGTTATCAGTTAAGCTTCAGATTGGTACAAGTCCAGATTCAGAATAGTGTCTGCGGACGCTAATATTTTAAAGATCAGTACTGTATTTAGAGAAGTAGGTGAGTATGAAACAAAGATGAAGCCCTCCCCACTCCTCCACCCCAAACAAAAGCAATCCCGGGTAATGGAAAACATCTTGCAAAATACAGAGTAACGCTTTCCACCTTACATTTCTACAAAAAGCAAGGCTCACTCTGGATTCACAAAGGTCCTCGGCAGCGAATGTAACGAAAAGTTGTACACAAAAGCTGCAGGCGGAAAGTCTTTTGAAACAGAGGCTCCCAGTGAAACAGGACCCAAACAACAAAGAGCCCCTCGCTACTGTTCACCACCCTTGTCTGCCAGAGGGCAGGCACCGGGCTGCAGAGAGAGACCACCTTCCCTCCCACACTTGGCCTAGCAACCCCGCCCGGTGCAAACATTTTCCTATCAGGTCCCCATAACCCTCTCTTAGGGATCTAGAAGGCCGGGCACGGGAAGCGTGAATAACCCCAGGTAAGGATGTCGTCACCGAGGGATGACGAGAATAGAACCCAAATCCCTTGACTCCGAGCTTGTGTTTTCCACTAATTGTGCTCCCTTTCCACGCATCCCAGAGCCTCAAGTGTGAGGGCTGCAGAAGGGAGTGGACCCCGATGCGCCAGGCCTCGCGCGGTGCAGCCGGCCCCGAAGGTGCCCTGCAGTGACCCTCGGGCACTCGGCTTGCGCCCGGCCGAGGACGATGAAAGCCGCCGCCGCTGCCGCCGCCAACCCCTGGGACCAAGAGCTGGAACTAGGTACCGCCGTGCCGTGCTCTCACTCTCTTTCCCCATTTCAGGCCTTCCCTTTCCAACCGCGCCCTTCCGGGCAGCCCCAGCGCACTCTCCGCCTCGGGGAGGGGAGGGGGGCTCCCGCCTCCTTCAGCTCCTCAATACTGGTGGTGTCCCGCCCCCCCACCCCACCACCCTCCGGCCTGGAAATCGCCCGCCACCCAGCGCCCCCCTGCACCCCTTGTTCTTAGGAGTAGGTGTTCTAGCGCCACAATCCTCAGCTCTGGGCAGCAAGCGCCAGTCAAGCATTTAATGTGCATTTCAACGGTTAGAAAATTAAAAAAAAAAAGTGGAAACCCGGGGGTGGAGAGGGGGGTGATCAGGGGCGCGCATCTGCCCTCGGGCATAGGTGGACGTATTCCGATCACCCGTCGGCACAATTGCAAGCAGCAGAGAGCGAGAAAGAGAAAAAAGAAAACCTCTTTCTCTCGGGAGGGGAGGGGCTTCCCAAGGCTGCCGCATCCCCGGGGCCAACCTCCTTCCCTAAGGGGAGGGGACGCCTTTCCCGAGCGCGCGTGTTTACACTTTAGCCGGGACTGGGTGGAGCCGACCGATGCCGGCGGCCTCCGAGGGATTCCAGACCGTTACTCCGCCCGCAGGGGCGGGGCGCCGCCCAACGGCCGAGCCTGCGCGCTGGGGCCGGGCGGCTGCTGGGCTCCGGCGCACTACAAGTCCCAGAAGGCAGCGCTTCGCGGGCGTGTGTGTGTGTGTGTGTGTGTGTGTGTATGGGTGGGGTGCGCACGCTCCGTGGGCGTGTGTTCTTGTGTGTGTGGTGGGGAGTTCGCGCGCTCCGTGGGCATGCATGCGTGTGTGTGTGTGTGTGTGTGTGTGTGTGTGTCGGCCTCTCTCCCCGCCGTGACTTTCAGCCTCGGCTCCTACCGCGTTCTTCCTCACCCCACCCCATCCTCCCTCCGTTCCCGCCGGTCTCTTTTTCCTACAGTTCAGGGGCAACATTTCTTGCAAAACACATGAGGAGCGAGGCCTCAGCGACTTCGCCACCGAAACTTTCCGCGGGCTCGCTCTCGCTCCAGCCGCTCGAGTTATGCCTGACTCCTTCCCCGTTACCCCAACACACACACACACACGCACACTGGAGTCGGGCAAGTGGACGCGGGAAAAGGAAGCCCGAGCCGGGCGCACTTCCGCCTCCCGGGAGCCGCACGGCGCTGCGCACGCGCCGCCCGCGACTCCGGCGCGGTTGACTTCCGCTCCCACTGTGCCCCGCGAGCCGAATCATGGATCACACTGGTAAGGAGGCGGAGGCTGTGGGGGGTCCCCGTTCGTGCCCCCCTCGGCCGGCCGGGGACGGGTCCGCCTGGCGGGGCGTCCACGGGTTATGCCCGCGCCGCGGCACGGGGCTCTGTGGCGGTGAAAGCGCACGGGCTTGCTCCCCCGCGCCGGGCCAGGGCCTAGGGTGTCCCGGCCTACCCCGCCAATGCGGGGCCGGGTCGCCTCCAGCCAGTGCCGGCAGCAGCCGCTTGCTTGAGCTCCGCCCGGGGCGGGCGCGGGCTCTCGAGGGGGGCCGGAGAGCGCGCGGCCACCGTGCCCCGGTCCTCCCGGCGGCCGCCCGCCTGACGTCCTGCAAGACTCCCCGTGTGGTGGGGGAGTCGGGGCGGGCGCCCGGAGGGCTTCGCCGCCGCTCACGGGAGCGCTTGCGGCGGGGGCTCTTGTTCTTCCCGGCCCTGGGCCGATGGGAGGTGGCGGAAGGGAGGCGGCTGCGGCGTGCGTGGAGTTGCACTAGGAGTTCGCTCGGCTCCTTCCGAGCCGGGGGCGCGCCCGGGGCCGGCGTGTGTGTGTGTGTGTGTGTGTGTGTGTGTGTGTTGGGGGGCGGGGGAGGGAAAGGCGGTGCGTCTCGGTTTCTCTGGGACGCGGAGCCCCGCGCGCTCGGTGGACGGTGTGTGTGTGTGTGTGTGTGTGTGTGTGTGTGTTTTGGGGGCGCGCTCTGAGGGGTTTTGTTTGCAGCTTCGCGCTGTGCCGGGTTGGCCGTTCAGGGAGTGCCCAACCCCCTCGGAGTGAGGAAATGCGGCGCGCGCGCATCTGTCAGCTCTCCTCGCTCGGGAAGTTTGCAAGACTTTCCCCATCCCCGGGAGGGACCTTTGCGTGACTTCGTCCCTGCCCGAAGTTGCCGGCGGCCCTTCCCCCCCCCCCCGCCCCCCCCGTCCCTCGGGTGACCCGGTGCCGTGCGTCGGGTTGCAGGGAGCCCCCGCGCGCACCCGTGCGCTGCGGGGTCGGGCTTGTGTTATGGGGACGACCGGGCGGGGGTGGGGGGGCGCAGGGTGGTGCTGGTTTGGAGGAAGATGCTTGCGAGAAGGGGGCCCGGGAAGCTGGCGCTGGAGAGGTGATGGGGAGTTTACGGGCGGCTCTGGGGGGGCAGGAAGCCGAAGCCGCAGCCGCTGCGTTCTGGAGGGAGCGTTGGCCAGCCCGAACAAAGGCGCTGTCTGAGGTAGAAACAAGAGTAGAGAGAAAGGAGGGTTGTCTGCAGCTTAGCCTGGGGAAGGAACTCCAAACGAGATTGGAAAAATGAAGGTGGTGCAAAACTCGAAAGGCCACCCAGGTAAGGATTTGCATTTTACGTGCAGTATGAAGCATTGAAAGTGGAGGAACTTAAAAACAAGCAAACAAACAAAAAAAGGCCCCAAAACAAACAGAAAAACCTTTTACAGTTCTGTGAAGAAGGTAAGAGGGAGGCAAAAAAAAAAAGTAAAAAAAAACCCCACGATGTTGGAAGTGAATGCAGGAGACTTATTAAAGGCGGCTTGGTTTGGTGAAAACAGTGGTGGATCGAATCATTAAATACGTTTATCGTGTAACTCAGACCCATTGCTGGTTCAGAATTATATAAGAGAAAGGTGAGAGATTAGGTTTTGGGTTTGATTGGCAAAACAGTTTCTTGTTGCCGAGTTTGGGGAAATTCTTTTTAGTGAAAAATTGGTTTGTGAAAAAATAAAGTCACCACGTGATCCAGTTTTTACACTCTTGGCATAGTGCCCCAATCACAAAAATATTCAAAAAGACAAATGAACACCCCATGTTTATTGACAAGTTTAGGACAAAATCCAGAATATGGAAACAACCTAAATGTTCTATGACAGTTGAGTAGAAAAAGTACTTGTCTATGTACACAATGGAATACTACGTAGCCATAAGAGAAAATTAAATCCTGCAGTATTCTGTAACTTGATGGAACTGGAGAGCATCATGTTAAGTGAAACAAGTTTCAAGGATAATGCTAAATACAGGTAATCTCACTCATCTGTGCAGGCATTGGAGAAAGGGAACAAGGGAATAGTTAATGAACAAGCCCTTGTTCCTGGATTACAGAACTGAGAATGCCAAGGGGTGAGTGGGTGGGGGAATTGATGAGGTGCACTGGAAATTATATAAGTCAAGGGTCTTTAGTGTTTTCCTAGGGTTGAATATGTGACTGTTTATCATCACAGCTAGTTACACCAATATAAACATGTGTCTCAAACTATAATTCTTGTTTTGTTTTTAAAAAAGAATCACTAAGGGAACTTGCTTGAGACATTGATGAAGGGATGCTCGCTCTGGTGGTGGTTGTAGAGTTGGAAGATGGCCTGAATCTCTTATCAACCATATTGTAAATCATGGTCCCTAAATAAAAATTAAGGTGTAGAGATGAGACAGGAATTTGCTACTGGATCTTGGAATTGCTCAGTGTGAATGTATGTCAGACATACAAGGAACAGTGTCAAATGGCAATCTGAGGAAGTTCTGGATTGAAAGGCCTATTTAGAACAATATAAAGTTTTAAGGCAAAAGGGCAGATGAGAATCCTTCAAGGAAAAGATTACGGAAGAGTGCCCAGAACTAGTCTAGTGTTTGGAAATTATATATAATTTATATAGGAGTTTCATTTTAAAGTAGATAACACTTAGTGCTAGTAAAATACCATTTGATGCTTCTCCTGGGTTTGGGAGGCAGATTACTTTCAACAATGTAGAGGATGTTAGTAGAGTAAAATGGGTGGATTTTTCTAAATAGTTTCATAGGGGATAGAGAGATAGTACTGCCTGTAGGGCACTTGCCTTGCACATGGCTGACCCGGGTTTCGATCCCTGGAATCCCTTATGGTTCCTGAGCATTGCCAGGAATAATTCTTGAGTGTAGAACTAGACGTAACCCCTGAGCATCGGTGGTAATGGCCTGAAAGCCAAAAATGTATTTAAAAAACTTTTCTTAAAAGTCATCTTGACATGAAAACAATAGATAATGAGCTCACTACTTAAACCATTAATTTCTTCTCAGATACCCTTCTGCTTAGAAAAGCTTGGTTTTGGTGTTGTCCTTAAGGTTTCATATCAGTTTTGATGTCATAAGTTTCATATCAGTAAAAAGTGCTGTACATTGATTTGTATTTATAAACTTCATAAAAGATTTTCATGAAATTTCTAAGTGTGAATTTGGATCCTCCCCCCCTTTTTTTTCCCTTTTGGTTTTCGGGCACAGTGGTGGTTACTCGTGGCTCATTCCTGGTGGATTTGGGTCTATATAGGATGCCAGGTCGGCCACGTGCAGAGCAAGTGCCTTGCACTCTGTACTACCACCCTACCACCCTGGGTCCTGATTTGGAACCTATTTAAATCACAGATTAAAATCATCAGAATATGGGAGAATGCCAGGTGACCTTATAATTAAAGACATCATGACAGCATAAGTGAATTATTTTATCATCAGGATTGAGCAAGGCTTTTTCTTGAGGAAAATGGAAATTCCCAGATATTATGCAGAAATGATTTTATGATTTTATTGAAATGATCATACATAAAATGGAGGTTATCTGTAATGTTAATAGAACTTTGCTATAAATAACTCCCAAGAAACCCTAAACACAGCTTCATTTTTTTGGCCATTCTAAAAATTAGCATTTAGTTGTAACAGTAACTTAGACTTTGTAAACTGGTTTTGGCTACTTTAATTCAAAATCTGCAGTGGAGCATTTGCCTTGCATGTGTGAAATAGAAGAAAAATATTTAAGAAATGAATATGAGTGCTTTTTTTATGTGAATTTGCCATAAATGACCTGAATTTTACTTCTCATTTTTTTTGTGTGTAATATCTAAGGAGCTTTGTTGTTAGGAGCTTTTTGTCTTTAGTAGACATATTCAAAAGGAAATTGTGCTTTGTGTCCTGATTCTTAACCAAAACCTCAAGACAAAACCTGGATAGTGCTTCTGTTAAATGGTGGACTTTGTGTATGTACTTGGAATCTAAGGCAAGATAGCCAAGAGTTAAGAGGTAGCTGGCTTTTAAAGATTGTAGTAGGTTACACACGTAGCATATAAGCTCAAGTGTTCAGGGTTAATATGAAAGGGACTTAAGAGTAATGAAGTGATGGTATTTTGATTATTCACAAAGGTAAAGCTGAGGAACCCATTTAATTCCTGGACAGTATTCAAGTGTTAACTGCTGTGAAGCAACTTGTTCTTTTGGTTTGTTTGGGCTTTGGAAAATTTTGGAATATTCTTGGGCGGGGGGGGAATTCTGTCATATATGAGCTAATATGTTTAATCAAATGTTAAAAATTGACCAAGCTGGATAACTCGAGATTGTAGTAGCACCTTTTCTGTGATTTTTTTTTTAATTTTGAGAATTAGTTATTATAAAAGTAATAGTAGAATTTGATTCTTAAGCGCCTATTTTTAATTTTGTTTTATATTGTTCAGAAATAGAGTAAGTAAATGTGACTTTAACATGTGTCTAATCCTAGTAGCAACAGAGGTTACTACCTTCAAATTCATCATTACTGAATTTAATGTGGACAGTTTAGCTTTTAATATTAGTTGCATTATCTTCGGCAGAGACAATTAATTACTTTCTTCAGAAGCTTGTTTTGTACTGTTTTAGAGACTCGAATGAGAACGGGTTGAGGCACATGTCTTGTGAGTGGCCAACCTCTAGTTGATTCCCAGCAACACATGCTCCCTAGTATCACTGGGAGGGGCCTTGTGTCTCTTGACTGCCACACAGAAGGTCCTTAAAATAAAATGAGTGGAGTAAAACATCAGTTTTTTTAAAGTCAGTTTATTAGCATTTTCTTTTGTGTCTATTTTTATTTGGTAAACAGTAATATTTCGTGTATTGTATTTTCATATGCCTCAGAAAAGGTCAGTTTTAAACTCAGAAGGATGTCATTACTCTTGACATGTGAGTTAATGTGTTTTAAACAAGGATTTTAGTATCAGTTGTGTAGAATAGTTGAAGTATAGACACTACATTCTTTTGAATTTTTTTTTTTACTACAGTGCTAAGAACTCAGTCATGTATAGCTAGAAGTATTTTAACATGTATGATATTGCATGCTCTACTAAACTGCTACTACATTCCTGAACGCTTTTTAAAAAATCTTTTATTCTCGTGGGAATATCCATCCTTTTAAAAATTAGCTTCAGCAGTTGGAGAGATAATAGCAGGTAAGGTGCTTGCCTTGTACACAGCTGACCCAGGTTGGATCTTTAGCACCTTATATGGTAATCCATGCCCCACCAGGAATGACCCCTGAACGCAGAAAACTGCAGATTCTAGATACAATTTTTAATTCTGTCATTGCTGGTGTTTCCATTTTATTGAGAATAGATAGAGATACAGTTGATAAATTTATTGAATGTGTACTTCATATGCTTGTAGAAATTGGGGTGGTTTCTTTTTTCTTGTTCCTTTTGTTTTTCAGAATCTCTAAGATAGGTTCTTATCTTGGTTTTATGAAGTGTTTTATGTCTCTTTAAAGCCCTTTGGAATTCTTTGGAAGTTTTTATTGTCCACTTAAAAGGGAAGAGTCTTTTATCAACTTTTTGTTTTGCTGTTTTGTTTTTGGATCACAACTGGCAGTGCTCAGGGTTTACGCCTTGGCTCTGCTCTGGGGGTGCTCCTGGTTAGGCTCAGAACACCTTATGTGGTGCCCAAGTTACAACCAGGGTCAGTTGCATGCAAGGCAAGTAACTTGCTCTACCATCTCAGACCCCTTTTGATCAACTCTTTAAAGATTCTGTCTCAAAATACTACTTTAGGTATTTCACCCAGTAGAGACAAGTGGCACTTAAACATCTATCCAATAATCTTTAGAAAGTTGTGATGCAGACCTTGAACTTTTGATAACGTTGGTAAATTGCTTTAATATATCAGAAGCAGAGTAATCTTTGAGAAGAAAAGACTAAAGTAAATTATATTTTTTCCCCTAATGCAGACAATGAGTTACAAGGCACTAATAGTTCTGGATCGTTGGGTGGTCTTGATGTGCGAAGAAGAATTCCTATAAAGCTCATCTCCAAGCAAGGGAACAAAGCTAAGGCTGCACCTCGAACTCAGAGGACTATAAACAGGATGCCTGCAAAGGCTCCACCTGGTGATGAAGGTAATTTGTTTAAATTAACAGGTTCAAAAGTCCTGTTGTATGATTCTACAGTCTATATGATCTTATAGCTACTTTTAATCTTTCATACTTATTGTAACTTATTAAATTTTTCTCTGTCTTTATAATTAGTTTTGGTTTGGTTTAGTGCCTCATTAAAAGTAACACTGCCCATTTAAGAAAACATAATAAAATATTTGCATTTATCCCAACAGCAGAGATAATCTCTGTTGGCATCTTTTTGTCTTCAATTTTTGCACCCCCTCATGGTACTTGGGGGCCACTCTTGAGCATGCCTAGGGGACCATACAGTGCTGCGGGGTGAACATGGGGCTGCCACATGCAAAAAGCATTGTTTTAACCCTATTCTCCTCATCCCCTCTGGAAACATTTTTGCAATTTCTTCATGGTGTTAGCTACCCCCTTTTCTAAAAAGTAATGTGCCTTTGAGATTTTGCCTTAGCTGTATGTTTACATGCACCTTATTTAAGAAAATAGGTCTAGGTGTTTTAAGTGCCTAAGGGCCGTCAGGGCCATTCCTGGCAGTGCTTGAGGAACCATGCAGTGTAGGGGATCAGCCTCTATATCTAGATCAAGTAAGCCCATTGGATTTACCTGGCCTGTTTCTGGATTTGTACAATTCTTTGTTCGTTAATATATAATTGGCCCTTTGTGATAATTATATATATTCCTTATTTACCTTTAATTTCATATAATTATTTAAAAGAAACTTAAGGATTCATTGTAGTCACATGCCTTGGGTATTTTTTATTTATTTTTGTTACCTTGTCTAGGTTTTATAATGTTCTTGTATCTTTTTTTGAGTGCAAACATTTTTCCATCTTACCCTGTTGGAAAGCTAGGGCTTATTGGCCAAATCAAGTCCTGTTGTTGTAAATAATGGAGCGATAGCACAGTGGGTAGGGCGCTCGCCTTACAAGCGGCCAACATGGCCGACCCGATTCCTCCGCCCCTCTCGGAGAGCCCGGCAAGCTACCGAGAGTATTGGATATGCCAGACACAGTAACAACAAAGTCTCCAATGGAGACGTTACTGGGCCCGCTCGAGTAAATCGACGATCAACGGGAGGGCCTTTACCTTTACCTTTACCTATTGGAAATCTGCTATTCCATTCATTTACATCCCATTATTTGTGACTTTTTCCACTACAATGGCATAGTACACTAACTTCTGGAGACCATAACCTATTGACTAATCTGGCCATATGGAACATTTTTATGACTATATATCTGGTTATAAAAAAAATAGAGTCTGCTTTAATTTATTTTTCTCTGAAACAACTGTTTGTCCTAGCATTGGATTATGTCATATCTTCCTGAATAAGAATCTCACCCTATCATATAAAAGCTGTATAAATATTTGTGTCTATGTGTACAATATTATTATGGTTCTTTTTGTTGTAGGATTATTTCACCATTTAAATACATTTGTGTGGCCTTCTAAGGAAATTTTTTGATCACTTTTAGTGAATTAATCATAATAAGCCTACAAAATAAATCATTTAGGGCCTGCTATTGGGGCAGGCTTGGGTGGTGGTTGGTAACAAAATAATGGCGGTGGGATTGGTATTGGAATATTGAATATAATCATTGTGAACAACTTTATAAAAGTAAAATTAAAAAAAAGTTATATTCATGTGGGTAGAATGGATACCTCACATGTATTATTCCCTTGGATTCAATCCTAGCACCAAAACAAAAACTCAATCAAATTATAAGTATATTTGGTGTCAAATAAAAATTGTAGCAGCAGCAACGTAGAGGTTATCTGCCGTACTTTCTGTAGTTGGGGTCCTAAGATTTGACTTGTTTTTTTGAATGATTTTTAATTATTCAAAGTTAAAGTGATTTTCTAATATGAAGGTAATTTGTATAATAAGGTCCAAATTTTTGGTGTAATGATGTAAACAATACACAAAAGCTAAAATCTTTATTCTGTAGTTTCCCCTCAGGTATACCCATCTGCAAGGTTATACCTCTTTCTAGGGGAAATGTTTTGTTTTTCTTAACAGATCAAGCTGAGGTTGGAGATAATCCTTGAATACTTACATTGTTTTTATTTCTCATTTGGGTATGATAGGTTTAAAACATTTTTTTTTCTTTAGATAATGATGAAAATGAAGAGTTTTGTGTGGTAGTATGCTATCTGTATGTACAAGTAATCTAATGATAGATATACTACTATGAAAAGTGAGCATTAACTTCTGATGTCCATGGCTGCTGCCCAATTCCAGCAGTTTTCTGGGGGCTGGAGAGATAATACAGGTGGTTAGGCACTTACCTTGCACACAACTGACCCTGGTTTGATTCACTTATTTCATATGGTTTCCCAAGCACTGCTAGAGGTGAACTCTGAGCACTGCCAGGTGCAACCCAAAACAACAACCAAAAACACCAGAAAGCAGTTTCCTGAGTTTTATATAAATAAGAAAATTGATTTTTCTTAATTTTAATTTTAGAAGACACTAGTTTTTATAAGCTGTAAATGGGCTATTAAAGAGCCTAGGTTCCACTAGATTCCAAAAACGAGATGTAACACATGAGAACATTTTTTAAAAACTTTATATTGTGCTGGAAATAATGAGTACACTTGAATGTCTGTTGCATTTTTAAAAATTCTTGCATTGCTCTGTGGGTGTGCGTGTCTGTGTCTGTCCCTGTCCTTACACAGGTGCTGAATTTTAGCTGTATGGGTAAAGATAAAACTTCTGTGCTTTGGCTACTCTGTTTACCCAGTTCTAGGGCCAAAAGAATCATGAGAAGCCTGGCACCTTGGAGGGATATATTTGTCTTCTCAGCTTTACTCTAGGTAATTGGATTCGACCTAGAATCTCCATTAAACTGTCCATTGGTTTTCTGTTCTATTATATGAGATGAAAAGATTACTTCAGTTTTTAATCTAGATAGTTTGTGGAAAATTGAGCTCATTTGATCTTCATATTGTCTTAAGTTTACACTGATTTATATACTTTATGGGCAGATACTTAGAAAGTAGATACTATATCATATCCATTCTTTGATTAACCAGGAAGTAGTTTTAATTGAAAGGTTGAACTTTAAATATCTTAACTTTATAAAATAAGGATCAGTTTAAAGCTAAAGGAAAGGATACCTGATTCAAATTCCGCCAAATTGTTTGTTCTCATTATTATATCTTTTTGACAATAAAATCAGCTTCATGTAACAACTGCTTGCATCGATAGATTAGTTATCTGAGGTCATTATTTCAAAAATTTGCAAAAGCCATGATGATAATTAAAAGTTTTATACTAGATGTAATCTGGTGAATTATTAAGCACTTGAATATGAACAAAGAGATCTAAAGTCCATTCCTGGCTCTGCCACTAGTCTTCTATGTGTTGGTTTACATGCTGCAATATTCTAAAAATTATGACAAGAGTTGGACTAGTTGATTGCCAAGATCCCTTCTAGCCTATTTTTAGTTTTGCTTGTCTTGTCATTTAAAAAAAAAATTTTGAAAGATATTTATGGGCTCTTTAGCAAATAGGCATATTTTGCCATGTACATATATTTCCTAAATACAGTTTTAAAATTGAAAAGTAATAATGCTTTTTTCCCCCAGAAGGTTTTGATTATAATGAAGAAGAACGGTATGACTGTAAAGGGAGTGAGCTGTTTGGAAATCAGCGAAGATTTCCTGGACATCTTTTTTGGGATTTTCAGGTATAATTCAAACTTAAATATTTTCTTAAAATATTTACAAATTTTATCAGAACATTGCAGAATACTTAAGAATAGTATGATGTTTTATTATAGCTATACCTTTTAGCACACACAAATGTTTATTAATGCCCTCTTCCCAAAAATAATTTGAAGTCAAAATTTCAGAAAAGTGAACTAAAGTCAGTAATCACTGACAGAAGAAAAAAACTAAAAAATGATGACATAGCTAATGGTGTGGCATATGTGGGAATACTATGCCAAGAAATCATCAATCTAATTTTTTTTTGTTAATTTTTTTTTTATTAGTGAAACACCATGAGGTACAGTTGTAGATTTACAATTTTTTGTGCTTGGGTTTGATTATACAATGATCAGATACCCATCCCTCCACCAGTGCCCATTTTCCACCACCATGGATAATATCCCTCCCACCCCCATCCCCCCATCCCCCCCGCCTCTGTGGCAGGGCAATCCCCTGTGTTCTCTCTCTCCTTTTGGGTGTTGTGGTCTGCAAAAGAGGCATTCAGTGACAAACATGTTCAGTCCATAGTCCACTTTCGACATGCATCTCCCCTCCTGGGAGGATCCTCCAAACACCCTTTATTTGGTGTTCCCTTCTCTATCTGAGCTGCCCTTTCCTCTAGAATGCCCGACTGGCCACTAAGCTATGGAGTAATCCTCCTGGTGCTGATCTCAGCTATTCTTGGGTATTAATCTCATATTTTGTTACTTTATATCCCCCAGATGAATGCAATCTTTCTATGTCTATCCCTCTCTTTCTGACTCATTTCGCTTAGCATGATACTTTCCATGTTATACCACTTGTATGTAAATTTCATGACTTCATCTTTTCTAACAGCTACATAGTACTCCATTGTGTAGATGTACCAAAGTTTCTTTAACCAGTCATCTGTTCTTGGGCATTCAGGTTTCTTCCAGTTTCTGGCTATTGTAAAGAGTGCTGCAATGAACAAACAAGTGCAGATGTCACTTCGACTATACATTTTTGCGTCTCTGGGATATATTCCCAGGAGTGGTATTGCTGGGTCAAATGGGAGCTCAATTTCTAATTTTTTGAGAATCGTCCATACTGTTTTCCAGAAGGGCTGAACCAGTGGACATTCCCACCAACAGTGAAGGAGTGTCCCTTTCTCGCCACATCCGCGCCAGCATCAGTTGCCTTTGTTCTTTTGAATGTGGGCCAGTCTCTGAGGTGTGAGATGGTATCTCATTGTGGTGTTGATCTGCATCTCCCTGATGATTAATGATGTAGAGCATTTTCTCATGTGCTTTTTTGCCATTCGGATTTCTTCTTTGAGAAAGTTTCTGTTCATTTCATTGCCTCATTTTTGGATGGGGTTGGATGTTTTCTTCTTGTGGAGTTTAACCAGTATTTTGTATATCCTGGATATCAACCCCTTGTCAGATGTGTATTCAGCGAATATCCTTTCCCATTCTGTAGACTGTCTTTGTATTTTGGTCGCTGTTTCTTTGGAGGTGCAGAAGCTTCTTAGTTTAAGATAGTCCCATTTATCTATCTCTGTTTTCACTTGCTCAGACAGTGGCTTGGCATCTTTGAAGATACCATTAGCTTCAATGTCATGGAGGGTTTTGCCAACTTTGTCTTCAATGTACCTTATGGTTTCTGGTCTGATGTTGAGGTCTTTAATCCATTTTGATCTTACTTTTGTACATGGTGTTAGGCAGAGTTCTGAGCCCATTTTTTTGCATGTAGCCGTCCAGTGATGCCAGCACAATTTGTTAAAGAGGCTTTCCTTACTCCACTTCACATTACTTGCACCTTTATCAAAGATTAGATGATCATATGATTGAGGGGAGATGTCAGTGTATTCAACCCTGTTCCATTGGTCTGCAGTTCTGCCTTTGTTCCAGTACCATGCTGTTTTAATTATTACTGCTTTGTAGTGCAGTTTGAAGTTCGGGAGGTTGATTCCTCCCATTTTCTTTTTTCCAAGAATTGCTTTAGCTATTCGTGGGGGCTTATTGTTCCATATAAATTTCAGGAGTGTTTGCTCCATTTCTTTGAAGAATGTCATGGGTATCCTTATAGGCAATCTAATTTTTTTTATCGACCTTAAAAATAATAGTACATTATAATTTTTTTTTTGTTTTTTGCTTTTTGGGTCACACCTGGCGAGGCACAGGGGTTCCTCCTGGCTCTGCACTCAGGAGTTACTCCTGGCAGTGCTCAGGGGACCATATGGGATGCTGGGAATCGAACCCGGGTCGGCCGCGTGCAAGACAAACATCCTATCCGCGGTGCTATCTCTCCAGCCCCTATAAAATATTTTTTAAGGAATGTTTTAAAAAAATTTTTTTTTATTATGTCATTTCAACAGATAAACATCTTAGGTGAAAAGGATGATACACCAGTTCATTTCTGTGACAAATGTGGATTGCCTATTAAAATCTATGGGAGAATGGTAAGTATAATAGTTCTATTTTTTGTAAATATAAATATTTGCATAGAGGTAGCACTGTCCACTGTCCTCCTATTTTTCATTGCTCGAGCAGACACCAGTAACGTCTCCTTTGTGAGACTTGTTACTGTTTTTCGCATATCGAATAGACCACGGGTAGCTTGCCAGGCTTTGCCCTGTGGGCAGGATACTCTCAGTAGTTTGCTGGGTTCTCTGAGAGGAGCGGAGGAATCGAACCTGGGTCGGCCATGTGCATGGCAAACGCCTTACCTGCTGTGCTCCAGCCCTTGTATAGAGGTAGGGTTTTGAAATTTTAAGTAGTTTCAATTTCTATTATATGATGACAGTTGTGGCATTTAAAAATAAGTCTGCAATAGGAAAATTTTGAGATACTATAAACTTAGTAAAATTATCAATTCTTGAATTGCCTGTAGATTAAGGAAACTAGCTTCCCAAACCTAAATTTCTTGGGGGATATTTTACTAATCGTAAATACTTTTATCCTTACTGAGGAGCTGGGATTTACAATACTGTTAAGTATACTTTCTATGCATACATCATTCTAATGCCACACCTATCTCCAGACTTTCCTCCACATAAGCCAACTTCCTTTCCATTGTAAACTTAGTTCTTGGTTATTTGTTTGTTTTCGGTTTGATTGATTTCTATTCTGGGTTCATACCTGGCAATACTCAAGGGTTACTCCTGACTCTGCACTCAGAAGTCACACCTGGGGATTCTTGGGGAACCATATGGGGTGCCAGGGGTCAAATCCAGATTGGCCACATATAAGAAAACTGCCCATGGGACTGTACTTTTCCTTTGGCTTCATCAGTTCTGTAGACGGATCTCCCGTTCCAACTATGACCATTTGTCATACTGTTACAATGTTTCTTTATATCCAACAAATGGGAGAAGTTGGTTGTTTCCTTTTATTGAATTGTGGAGGTGGTGACACCTACAGGCACATAAATGATTAAAGATAAACACCTGAAATTCCACAAGATAATTTTTTTGAGAAAATTTTTTTTTGTTTGAAGTCATTATTTAGAGTTGTGTTTTTATTTTATGACGGGGTGGGGGTTTGGGGTCATACCTGGCGATGATTAGATGTCACTCCTAAAGGTGCTCAGGAGACCATATGCAATACCGGGAATTCAATCCAGTTCAACAGCATGTGTCCCACCCCCCATCCCTCAAAAAGTCCTTTAAACCCTGCACTATCTCCCTAGTTACAAGATTACAATTTTTAGTATAGGGGTTGAAGAGAATTGCAGGGGTTCCGGCATTTGCCTTACATGTGATCAAACTCACCCACTGTACATGGTCTGTGAATACTGTACATAGTCCCCTGAGCAAATGGCCAGGAGTTATCCATGAGCACCATCAGGTTTATATCACCCCAAACCTATCCACTCCACAGAAAACTCTAAGATTGTAAGTACTTCCTGCCGACTTAGTTGCAGCCATTATAATTAAAATCAAATAGTAATATTGACCTTTAAAAATTAGTTTTATGTTTGTGTTTGTAAGGAATTAATAAACATCTGTCATAGTAGAGGGCATAGATTGTGCACGTTATTGTATAACAGTAATAACAGTAAACAATAAGTAACAGTAATAGGGTGTGGGTTTTAAAGTAATCTAACATACTTTTTCCTGATTTTAAATTTTATTTCAGATTTTCGGGGTAAATGTACCTTACATTAGATATAGGAGATACTTGATTTTTTTTTTAAAATTTATTTATTGAATCGCCATGAGAAAAGTTACAAAACTTTCAAGTTTTAAGTCTCGGTCATACAATGATCAAACACTCTTCCCCTCACCAGTAATTATTTTTCACCACCAAGAACCCCAAAATGCCCCCCTCCCACCCCCTTGATGCCTGTGAGGCAGATGATTTCTACTTAACTCTCTCTACTTTGATTGGTTACATTATTTCGACAAAAGAAGCACCATTATTTGGAATTTCCCCCCAACAATCAGAACTGCTGAAAACGGATTGTGAAATAATTTGTTTCCTATTGTTGGTTATGAAAACCATATGATGTCAGCGGCCGTGCAATTTTTGATTTCTAATATTTTACTGATTAAGTCTGGAGGGATTTCTGCCAAGAGCCGGATAAATGAGATTGGTTTCTGTGCATCTGGTGCCATGGCCGTGCCAGAGAGCCGCTTGTGGGGGGCAACTTGTGGCTTCGGTCAGGTGTGAAGGAAGGGTGAGCCAGTTTTGCCCCCGTTCCCGTGAGACTGCAGTTGCCCCGCCACTGCCGGCTCATACCTGGTTTTCCAATAAGTTCTGAGGTGGCCGGGGCAGGAGGGGGTGGTGGGAAGGCCGATACTTGTTTTTTTTTTTTCCCCCCAGTTTGAATAGTGCTGGAGTGATAGCACAGCGGTAGGGCATTTGCCTTGCATGCAGCCAGCCCAGCCGAGCCGGGTTCGATTCCTCCGCCCCTCTCAGAGAGCCTGGCAAGCTACCGAGAGTATTCAATATGCCAAACACAGTAACAAGAAGTCTCACAATGGAGACGTTACTGGGCTCGCTCAAGCAAATCGATGAATAACGGGATGTCAAGAAGAACATAAGATTGAGCTTAGTTGCCAGTTCTCTCAGGAGCTATTAACTTGCAGAAACCTTGGATGAAATTTATAGGGTTTAATACCTTCAGAAAGTGTAAGCAGGTGTGTGTGTTTGGGGGGAAAGAGCGAATTTTCTGTCATGTTCTTAATGGACTTTGTGTCTGAAAGTATTTAATTGTTGCTTTCATATAATATTTCATAAGTATTTGCTTTAGAAATAGTTTCCAAGTACGTTCTATACCTACTGCATTGTACTTTATGTCTAATGGGAATATTTTAAATTTTATTATGCTTAATTATATCTCTGTTCACAGATTCCATGCAAACATGTCTTTTGCTACGACTGTGCTATATTACATGAAAAAAAGGGAGATAAGATGTGTCCAGGGTAAGATCATTACATTTTAAAGTTTGTGGTAGATTTAAAATTTGTGTTAGGGTCAGAGTATAAATCAGCTGTTGGAGGCATTACTAATCTCTGAGAGCCCAGAATTGACTTTTAATGTTTTCCTTGAGATAGTACTACATAGTTTGTCTTTTTATAATTTTTCTTGTACTGTGGATCAAACCGGGACCTTACACATGCAAGGCAGGTGTTCTCCCACTGAACCACACCCCCAGCTTTAATATCTGTTACTTTTAATTGGCCAAAGTGTCTAAAATATATTTATAATCATAAGATTGACATCACATGGAGTAGTGCAGTGGGAAGGGCTTTAGCCTTGCATGCAGCCAACCTGCGTTTGATCCCAAGCATTCTCTGTGGTTCCCTGAGTGCCACCAGGAGTGATCCCTAAGCATAGAACAAGGAGCAAGTCCAGGCCTGCTGCTTCCCCCAGCTTCCCTCCCTTCTCTTCCCCCCCACCCCCCGTCTGCCACCACCACACACAAAAGCAGTTTAAGTATTTCTTTGTTCCTGCCCAGGAATTCTTGGATTTAGATCTCTGTTCTGTCCTTCATCAGCTGTGTGACTGAGGTTATTTTATTCATTACTAAAATGGGGCTCTACGTCCCCTGTTATAGTATGTGCAAGTGTCTGTATATAAGTATATACTTACGTGTGCATACTTTATGCTAGATACTACATATACAGGTAGTAACGAGTTACGTAGCATGTGGTCAGTACCATGTAAGTACAAAGAAGCTTTTACTTTGTAACTTCAGAAGATTGTCATGTTTTAAATATATCTTAAAGCACTATTGTGGCATAAACTCAGTTATGAAGAACTAGTGGTTTGGTTTATTTTGATCCATTTGATGATAGTCTTGAAGAATCAAGAATAAAACAAATTTTAAAATCAATTTAGAATTCTTAACAGAGCCTAGAAAATTCCTAAAATGTAGATTTCTTATATTCTTTATAGCTTATATCTGAATCTCTCCCAAAATTTGCACTACTGGTATTAATAAAGCTATGAATGGTATAAGTGATGATTTAATTTTATGGTATAGGAATATTGTCATCATTGGAAAGGGTTGATTTCATTGACAGACAAGAAATTACTGGTTTTCTTTGCTCTTTTTTTTTTCCTTTTTTTGTGTCACACCCGGCGATGCTCAGGGGTCACTCCTTGATTTGCACTCAGGAATTACTCCTGGCAGTGCTTGGGGGACCATATGGGATGCTGGGGATCGAACCCAGGTCAGCCACATGCAAGGCAAATGCCCTACCCGCTGTGCTATCACTCCAGCCCCTTTGCATATTTTTATTAGACTTTAATAACTGATTGTCAAATTTGTTGTGAGTTTAAGAATATTCCCTCCTTAGAGTTTTTAGAAATTTTGGGAAATTAAAAGCATATTCAGAGCTAGAGAAATAGCTCAAGGTTACCAACTGAATTATATGACTGAAAGTAAAGTGGAAATGAGAGAGTACACTGGGAATATTATTTGACCTAACAGACTATTTAACATAAGGTAGAGCAGTACTAGTTTTTGTCTTTTGAAAGAATTTAAAAGAAGTAGAACTTTAAGATAGTATATTCCTACATAAAATAACTGCTGAAGTTGGTTTGAAGCTTTCATACTGTAGGTTTTATTTATTGTTTTTTTGGAGGGCACAGGGACTGTATGGGATGACAGGAATTAAACCTGGGTTTGCTGCATGCAGTGCAAGTGCACCTACCTATTGAACTGTCACTCTGGCCCCTATACTGTAGCCAGTTGAAGAGCATTTATTTCTCTTCAGACCATTAACCATTTCTAGGAAAATAATGATACACAAATCAACAAAACTATGTAAGTGGAATGGTCTAATCAGCTGTTAGCATGGACTCATTTGTTTTCTGATGCCTTTTTTAAGAGTAAATTTATATGACAATTCAGAAAGATTCCTTTAAGAACTTTTCATAGTCTCTCGAATTGAAATTCCTTATATTTAATATAAGACTAAGTTGGTCTCATTCAGTTTTAGTTCTTTCAGTACCTTCCACTGTTACCTTCTACTACTTCTATTTAGTATTAGTTGTTCAGCAAATACTTATTGCTCAATAAACACTGTATACAAGCTTGAATTCTTGATTGTGATAGATCCTTTGGATTGTCCTGGATTCTTTGCAAATTCTTTTGCAAAACATACCTATATTTGAAAAAGTCAGAAAAGTTCTTAGGAATAAAAAGGCCTTTTCTGAAAATGTTTTAAAGACAGTTTTTTCTTGTTAAGAATTCTGAGGTTGGGGGTGTGAGATTTCTGAGGTTGAAAATGCCACTGCTTAATTGTGAGGATACAACAAAGTGGGAAGGGGTGAAAGTCTAACACTTAATTGTGAGCTTTTACAATATGAATTTTTTCCATAGTAGTATGTATCTAACACTTGATTATATAAGCATATTTTTGAAATTGTGATTTTCAAGTATTCTTATTTTACGTAGTAATTTAATTACTTTTGTAGTCTTTTTAGTAAACCATTTTTTTCCCTCTTAATTTAGTTGTAGTGATCCTGTGCAGAGAATTGAACAGTGTACACGAGGTTCTCTCTTCATGTGTAGCATTGTTCAAGGGTGCAAGAGAACATACTTATCTCAGAGAGACTTACAGGCTCATATCAACCACCGCCATATGAGAGCTGGAAAACCTGTTACGCGGGCTTCACTTGAAACTGTTCATCCTCCTATTGCTCCACCACCAACTGAAATCCCTGATCGTTTTATAATGCCTCCAGACAAGCACCATATGAGCCATATTCCACCAAAGCAGCACATCATGATGCCACCACCTCCTCTGCAGCATGTGCCACATGAGCACTATAACCAGCCACATGAGGATATTCGTGCTCCTCCAGCAGAATTGTCTATGGCTCCACCTCCACCTCGTTCGGTCAGTCAGGAAACCTTTCGTATTTCAACGAGAAAAATCAGCAATTTAATAACTGTCCCTATTCAGGATGACTCAAATTCAGGTGCTAGAGAACCACCACCACCTGCCCCAGCACCTGCTCACCATCATCCTGAATATCAGGGTCAACCAGTGGTATCGCACCCGCATCATATTATGCCTCCACAGCAACATTATGCACCACCCCCACCACCACCTCCACCAATAAGCCATCCAATGCCACATCCTCCCCAGGCTGCAGGTACGCCTCACTTGGTTTATAGCCAAGCACCACCTCCACCAATGACCTCTGCTCCACCACCAATAACCCCTCCCCCTGGACATATTATTGCCCAGATGCCACCTTATATGAACCATCCTCCTCCAGGACCTCCCCCACCTCAACACGCTGGTCCACCTGTAACTGCACCCCCTCCTCACCATTATAATCCTAACTCTTTACCCCAGTTCACTGAAGATCAAGGAACTTTGAGCCCTCCATTTACACAACCAGGGGGAATGAGTCCTGGTATATGGCCTGCACCAAGAGGGCCACCACCTCCACCACGAATGCAGGGTCCACCTTCTCAGACCCCACTTCCTGGACCACATCATCCAGATCAGACAAGATATAGACCGTATTATCAATGATAATAGTATTTTGAACTGAAGATATGGTAGGGGGAAGAACTTAATGTATAGTCAATCTTTTAAGCTTTGACTGGGGAAGGAAAAGAGCACCCTTACTGAGGTAACTGTAAAACACATAGGGTCTTGTCTCTTAAAAATCGTTCTAAATCTTCACTTTAGAATTGATTTCGAGTACTATACATAGTGCAGAGAAGTGACTCAATTGAGCACAGCTATATTTTAACAACTTTATTCCCCTAATGTGGTAAAATGACCCAGAGGCAACAGTTTGTGAAAGAAAAAAAAAATTTTTTTTTGAAGAAAAATTTCGTTGTTCCAGTTTCCAAGGTATCATTTTTGTTAAACCCAATGTTTAGTTTTTCTTGTTATAATTTTGTTAACCTGTGTAAAAGGATTAAATTTCAGTATGGTTGTACAAATGCTATTTTTATGTGAATTTAAGTGCAGCCACTGTTTTTTAAAACATGTTTTACCACTAATTTCCCAAAGTTACAATAAAACCCTAAAAGTAAAGATCTATTAGATTTTACTTCAAGACAGACTGTTAAATGGTAGAGAATTATTTCATATTTTAGGCACTGAAATTTTGAGGTATATTAACATAATGCACTTCACTTGGATGCCTTCATACATAGGCAGCCTCAGGAGCACCAAAATACATTGCAGTTCTGGTACTAAGACATTCATGTTTGTAATATTAAAAGGTATAACTAATTATTTGGAAGATGTGGCCAAAGTATTTGACTCTACAGTCTACAAGCTGTTGGGAAATACTGTTACTAATTACAGTTTATCATGTTTTTTACTGAATGGGTAACATTTCCTGATGCACCACACTTATTAATCCTAAGTAACATTTTTTATTAGAACTGTTTGGTGTTATACATGAAGTGTGTTCTACTCTGCTCGTTGTATTAAGCTAAGTAGACTTTATGGAATTCCTTATTTCACAGTAGAGTTTGATCCTGTACTTGGTTTTGCTTATTGGCCATTTTCTTTAAAAATTCTAATTATTTTTCATTCCTTTTATTGGTTAAGGAGTCTAAAACTTGGAATATTTTAGCATGGAGTCAGCAGTGAAGATCATCAGATATTTTAAATTGAAGAGAAGTGTAATGACTAAATTGTGAATTTCAGTGCTTTGTAAGGTGCCTTTAGTCAGCTTTTGCATTATAGGGGCTCATTACTGTCCAACTAAGATGACCACTTACAGTTTATACAAAACTCATGTATAAATTAACATTTGGGCGATATTATTATATATCCTTTGAATAAACCCCTGTGAAGTATTTCCTCCCCTCTAAAATGGTGCATAATATAAACATGAAATGTGTAGTATGCAGATATCATTTATGAAATAGTTTGTAGTGTATAAATTTATAATACTTTTTGACAAAGGTTTAACAGATTGCTAATTCACCATTTTATTCTGTTAGGTACAGGCAAAACAAGTTTATCATCTTAGATAATTAGATACAGAGTCATCTATAAACTTAAGAGTTGAAGTTAGAAATGGCCATTTTACCCTTTACAGCCAAAAACAACTGATACATCTTTTTTAAGTGTCGTTTTTTTCTCTCACACCTAGCAGTTTAAGTAATGCAATACTTCTAGTGAGAAATTCTTGTATTAGAAGCATGGGAGTGAAATAGTGTGAAATATTGGTGACGAGTGCTTCTATCATATTACTGTAGGTACTTGGACTGGTGCAAACTTGATTCCCTTTCACGCCCTTTTAAGGAGCTGTTAAATTAATATTACTGTTAAAAATTCAGTATCATTCTTTCATATGATTAAAAAAAAATAGCCAAATTCACTTTTGAGCTTGTAAACTCTGAAGAGCTCTCCTATTTTTTTGTTTGTTTGTTTTTGTTTTTTTCTTAACTGAAGGTCCCTATAGTTGAAGGTGATGTGACACCACTTGGCCTATATATTGGACAAAAAGAAAAATCATGGTAAAATTCCACATGTAAAGAATTTTTAGGCTTTTTAAAAAAATGATTTATTTTTGGTTAGGTTTAAGAAATAACGAAGGGAGGCAGATCAGTTATTGTGTTGTAGCAGATAAACTTTGAATGGTGTTAGACTTGAATTCGTCCAGTTATTATTTGAATGCGGGTGGGTGGGTAGAAGATTACAGAATTACTGTTAGTGTTTCTTTCCTTAAGGAAAAAAGATGTGAATCCCAGCCTTTTTTCAGGGAAGCCTTTGAAGCTATGATGGACTTAAGTCTAAGTTAAATGTATGTATGTTTCATTATATTGCTCTTAAGACTACTGAGGTGGCAGTTTAATTCTTAAAAACAATAAAATGGAAGCATAAATACTATTTTTGCCTAGATGAATTTTTACTTAACCGTGACATATTTGGGAGAATGTAGGATGTTCGTATTTAATTCAACCTTTACAGTAAAGTTAGATACTTTTAAAAAGATTATAATTAGAAGTTGCGTATATTTCTTTAGTGGCATGCTTGTTCAGAGTACAGTACAAAAGTTTGCAGATACCATAAAATAATGTTATATAAGTTTTGCCCTGTAAAAACCACTCTCAAAATTATTTCTCAGAATTATTATGTAAATACTGATAGATGTCACTAAAGTAATGGACAAGGTAGTTGAACATTGTTACAGTGATTTTAAGAGGATACTAGAAGAAGATCTTTAAAACATCTTTCTGGAAAAAAGCCATATGGTCCTGTCTCATAAAGTTTTTGAAAAAGACATATAAGTGCATGGCAAAAGGTTACAAGTACCTCCAACAAAAATAGTTTTTATAAATTCTTAAGTCAGACATCAAATTATTATACTTTGCTGTTTGACATAACTATGCTCAAACATACTATCATCTGACAAGTGGATTTAATTTGCTTCACAGGTTTATAACTTATCTGTTAAATTGTATCCTAGAAACAAAGAGGGTATTTAATATATGCATGGTCAAATAAAGCAGTATTTGATCTAATAGGCTTAAAGGGGAGAGAAAGTTAAGTCAATTAAAATACTTGGTAGTGCTACTAATAAAAGCATTTGTTTTTCAAACTTTCTGGTTTTGGATCATAACTCTTCAGTATTTTTGCAGAGTTCTCGGTGTCGGTTTGGGGGGAGTGCTTAATAATTGCTAAACCCAGCATTTTAGTGTTATTTCCCTATCTTTAAGAAGTTCTTTGTAGGCCTTACAGAATCAAGATCAAATTGAATAAAGTCACTGATATAGCTCTCACTCTTTAGCAAAGACCCTGTCTTTTAAAATTTTGGTATTTTAAAATGTTAATTTATGCTTTGACCTAAGAATATCACATTTGTATTCTAATTCGATAGCATTTAGCATTCAAATTGCAGTTAACTCCATTTTCTGCTTTTGCCTTTAAAATTATTTTCCTTTTGCCTTCAGATTTAAGTTTTCTTCCTAAGATCTACTTACAGATCCTTTATTTTAAAATTTCTCATTTCAAAGAATCTTTTTGGAAACAATGTGCTGTTACCAATAAAGATAAAAAAATTTCCCTTGACCACTATTGCAATTAACAATTTCTTTCCAGCGGTTGGAGACATAATACAAGGTTTAAGGCAAAGGCATCCAGTTTCTTTCCAGAGATAAGCACTGCTGATAACATTGGTCTTATGTCTAAGTTAACAGAACTGACAAGCTGTTTTTCTGTTCTAGATGAACATTTATTAAACTGTGGTAAATATATTTCATGACTATACTCAATATGTACTGATCCTGACATTGACATTTATGTTGAGAAACCATGAAGGAGTTGGGTTGTATATTAGGTCTTTAGAGACACAGTATATTGAATTTTGTTAACATTAGGAATGTAAAGTTCTTTGGAGTAAAGGAAAAAGAATAATTGGGCCATGGTAGAGTCTCAGATCAAATAGTGGTCAAGGTAGAACTTGATATTTGATGACATATGAGTTGGTTGTGTAGGTAACTTGGAGCAGAACCTTACAGCCAGAGGATATAATCACGCATCTATTTTAAATGGACATTTTCAGGGACAGCCAGATGAGTAGAATGAGATGAATAAAAGGCAGAGTGGTGATAACAGAATTTTAACTACTAATGGTTAAGGAGGTTGAGAAAGACTAGCCAGAGGTTCTACTTTGGGGAGGGCACTATTGGGTCACACCAGTTCAGTGACTGTAGTGTTTAAAAGTGATTTGTGGCCGCACCACATACGGTGTGGGGGATTTGAGTGGAGATTGGTTGAAGTGGGGATTTGACTTGAGGACAAGCATAATGCAAGGTAAGTGCTTTCACCCCTGTGCTGTCACAGCTTCTGCCAGAGCTTGTTTTGGAAACTTAATGCTAGAGATGGTAGCAATATTGTAGTCATCAAGAAGTGGGTGATTTGTGAAGCTTGCATGTTTTATGTAAATATGAAATACATATAATTAAGCACCTGTTAAATAGTAAACATGGGTACATAATTATGAACAAAAATGATACCTCCTCTTTAGAAATTTAATTCTAGCTTATCTAGGAATTGTTGGTATTTAACAAAATGCACACACAAGCAACCATAATGAGATTGAAGTACTATTTTAATTCTGAACATTAATTTTATTTCCTAATAGCTTTTTTGGATCCGTTTACTTGCACAGTGCTGAATTAGTGACTTACTAGGTGTATAGAATTTGTCTGTATTCACAAATTCAGTTGTATCTTGATTAGCTGAGACTTGATACAGATTTGTTTCTTTCAGATGGTAATGTTTCCTATGGATAGGAGCCCAGCTCTGTAGTTGACCTACTTGGACTGAATTCTGGCTCTTCTACCTGCAATAGTATAACTTAGACTCATTTCTTACCCTCTTTGATCCTTGATTTACTTTTTCTTTAAAAATAGCAGTAAAGGGGCCGGAGCAATAGCACAGCGGGTAGGGCGTTTGCCTTGCACGCAGCCGACCCGGGTTTGATTCCCAGCATCCCATATGGTCCCCCGAGCACCGCCAGGAGTGATTCCTGATTGTAGGGCCAGCAGTAACACCTGTGCATTGCCGGGTGTGACCCAAAAAGCAAAAGAAAAAAAGAAGCAGTAAATACAGCACACACTTTAGGTTGTTTTTAGATAAACTCAATTGATTCTAGATAAAAAATGTAGAATCAATAGAATTTCCAGACAGATTTTTCAACCCGGAGAACCTGAGAAATGTAATTACTTGAGTTGGTGCTAGCAGAGCAGATTAGGGTATCAGTAAGTTTGTTTTGACATATAGGTATCCAAATGAAGATAGTAAAAAGTAAAGTAAGGCCCTCCCGTTGATCGTCGATTTGCTCGAGCGGGCCCAGTAACGTCTCCATTGGAGATTTTGTTGTTACTGTGTCTGGCATATCGAATACTCTCGGTAGCTTGCCGGGCTCTCTTCTTTGGTTTTGTATATGCAGTGTAAGATCAAGCTTGCAATTTCTAAGTATTAGGTTACAGTATTTAGACAAGGGTATATACCAAATGCTTAATAAATACAAGATGATTTTGTTTTGGGATCACACCTGACGATCCTGACGATACTCAGGGCGTGCTCCTGGCTCAGTGTTTAGGGATCACTCCTGTGGGATTAAACCCGGATTAGCCACATGTAAAACCACATGTAAGACCTCACCCATTGTGCTATTACTCCAGCCCCAAGAAGATGATTTTAAAGATAGATTGCAAGCATTGGCTCCAGTCTGTTTTAACTTCAGTAGTCTGTTAGTTGTATTGCTGGGTATGCTCTCTTTTTTGGTCTTGCTCTGGTTTATAAAAGTTTTATTTTTATCTTTCACAACAGTCTTTTGGCCTCTGCCTAGGGCAAGGATTGGATTTTTGTAACAGTATCCAGTATTTGTTCTGAGGCAGACAGATTTCCATTCCCATGTATTTCCCTTACCAGGCATATCCAATTTACAGGTCAAAGAGGAAACCTCTCTTCAGGAATGAGGGTATGTGAACCTCAAGATATAAGTTTGAATGTATTGTAATGGGGCTAAAGAATTGGAGTATTTGTTCCAGCTTTTATTTTGGTTGACAAAGAGTGTAGAGGGTACCTTTATATAGTGGATGTAGACAATAGTGACAGTCCTATATGAAGATTTTTACCTCACTCCCAAATCAAATTATTAGTCATTTTAGTTTTGACTCCCATTTCTCTACAAAAGAGCTCTTAATTCAAAGTCATAGGGTATCATAAAGTGACTGAATAAAAAAATTAAGACATTGCTAGAAAGAATAAAAAATTACTTTAAGTCTAGTTTTTATTTAAGAAAGGTTAGTAGACCTTTGTTATACCTTCCTGTACCTGGTTGTATGTCCAAAACCTTCTTAGTAAAAGACACTACATTAGTAAGGGATGGGTGGGCACTTTGGCAAGTTTTGGAGAATTCTAAAACATTTCACATTGGTAGTGTGATCTGATGTTTAACAGAGGGCACTGAATCTTTTTCTCTTCAATTTCTAATAATTACAGAAAATTGCAGGCAGAGCCATGCCAATGAAAACCAGAAGCATTCACATTTTTATTTCCCTTCCGTTAGGGCCAGGTAGAATTAGCTTAGTTTTTATCTTCTTGTTTTTTATTTTGTGTTTTCCATTAGCTTATACTATTTTCATATTTAGGGGTGGGAAAAAAGTAAGGATTTGACTCAAAAGTCACAGTTACAAATACGACTTTAGAAGTATGTCTAAATCTGGATAGAAAATCGGTGGCTTTCAAAAGATTGATGGGGCCAGAATGATAGCTCAGTGGGTGGGACACTTTCCTTGCAAGTGGCTGACCTGGGTTCATTTTCCCCTGCAGCCCATATTGTTCCCAGAGCACCATCAGGACTGATTCCTAAGTGTAGAGTAAGCCCTGAGCACCACTGGGTATGGCCCCAAAACAAAAGACACAGATAATGTTGCTGATTATATGATTTTATGATTATAATAGTAATCATAAAATCTTGGAAAAAAGACTTGTTGCCTATTAGGCTATTAGTTTGATGTTTTCAGCCATATCATTCGCTATACAGGGGACCCAAACACGTTTGTTTCAGTAAGCTTGTGTTTAAGGACAAGTCAACTGTATGATGGATTTTTTAATGAAGATATGTAGCATGAGCTGTATAAATTGTGAAATTTAAAGCAGATGTAGATGCACTACAAAAACATGCAAAAAGGTAGTGACTTCGATGGAAATTTGTCAGTGCTATAAAAATACATATAAATTTTTTTTCTTTTGGTAGATCCACCAGGTACAAAATTAAGGGTATTTACACAATTTTGTACTAGATATGTTAAAAATATACAGTATTAGAACAATCTTGTTCCAAAGTCTGGAACATAAATTTGCCAAAAACAATCTTCATACAATGTATGAACTTAGCAGTAACTTTCCAGATATAAAGTTGTTCTTCATGTGACAGTCAGATTGACAACGACCACTCCGAATCATATTTATATTAGAATTTCGTTTCATTTGGTACCTGAAAGAAGACAAAGTTTTTAAATGTTTAAAAGACTTTAAAACTTTTTAACATTTTAAACTTTCAATAATGTTGTATTGCAACCAGTTAAATAAGGAGCTAGAGTTTACCAGATTCAGCAACAGATTTGGGGTGAGGGTGGGACTACCCTGAGTATTCAGGTCTTACTCCAGGTTCTCTGTTTAGGGAAAGACTCCCTAGGGAACAGTATGTGGTAGTAGGATTGAACCAGGGTTGGCTGAATGCTAGACAAGTGCCTTAATCCTTGTACTATCTCTTTAGTCCCAGATTTTTATTTTTTTAATTGTTGACTGTTAATGATCAAATACCGCCACCCCTTTTTTCTTGGTTAACAAAGCTATGATACCGTCACGGTCACGGTCCTCCCGTTGTTCATCGATTTGCTGGAGCGGGCCCAGTAACGTCTCCATCATGAGACTTATTGTTACTATATTTGGCATATCGAGTACTTGTAGCAAATCTTTCAAAGGCCTAATTTAATTTAAAATGCAGGTGGCATAAAGTATGCTATGGCAGTATATTAATATTTATCTCAGAGGCCACACAAACTTTAGTTATCCTGTTTGCTAGTTAGACATGCTCAACTCCTATCTGAATCACCACTGGTGGCTTATCCTAACTGCTGATTTATCTTCTAAGCAATACAAGGGGCCAGTGTTAAATGATTTTTTTAATACGGAGTCTGACACACCGGATGGCACTAATTACATTATATTCAGATAGTGGTTCTAAAGATTTAGATCAAGCACCATATTCAAGTTATGTTCCCATACTGTGAAATTTGGTGGCAGTGCTGAATCCAACTATTAGATTGGATTGTAAGTCTTTCCTTTATATTGGAAGTACAGGCAATGATGCAAGACTTGGAATCTACCTCTTCTCTGGGAAACAGACCCATGTTGTTCCAGGCTCTGCTTTCAACACAGGTCTTTTTTACTTTCTAGAAAGATCTTTTCATACAGCCTTTTTGTATTTGATATGGCTCTTGAATATGATGCAGGCATCTTTTACGCTGTACAATTTTCCTTTTATGTTTAATCTAAATTTCTTTTACTTAGACCTCTTTTCAACAGAAAAATATGTCTAGCCACTTTCCATACTTGATTGATTTATCTGAGGACTAATTACAGTCCTTCGATACTTTCTCTGGACCCTCAGTTTCATTAGCCTTTCATCAAAGGATAAAGCCAACATAGCATACATATAGAGTACATGCTTAGATATCAGACATATCATAGTTCAAATTTTATTGCTTGTCACTTTGATGTGTAACCGTAAGCAAATTAGCTTAGCTCTCTGAGTCTGTTTTTGTTTCCTCCGCTGTGAAATAAAGATTGCTTTTGTGTATTGTACAAACTGAGAGAATCAGCCAACCAAGTCCCTGGTATAGCAGAAACCTGTTTTGGTGTGTGCTTTAGCTTTTCTCATCCTAGACATTCCCTTAAAGGACTGAATAGTTTAGAAATAAATGTTCTTGAATGAAATGAAATTATCCAGTTAAATAGTCATTTAGCAACAATATTAAGAAGAAGACACAATTGTTATTGTTGGTCTAGGTACTAAGAGTTTTCCCATGCCTGGGCATCATGGACTTCATGGACTGTATATTAGCTTCTGAGAGCCAATGCTAATTAATTTGTAAATGGGAATAGTAATACGTTTTCCGCTTCATGGATTGTTAGAAAAATCAAAATGTAATCTTGGTTGTATGTGCTTTATAAACATTCTATATGTTCAGTATTAATAGAGCTATAGTACCACAGTTCCCATTCTTTTTCTACTGGTCTGAATTTTATGTAACTCTGGAGAACAGTTCCTTACCCCCCTGTCACTCCCCCCACACACACACACACAGTTCATTCCTTCCTGACCCAATTTTGCTGAACTGTATGCAGCATGCCTGAAGAGACCTCATTGCATTTAAAGTTTTTATTGTGTCTGAATAAAAAGCAAACCTGCAGAAGAACTTTACCTGACATTCCCGATTACGTAATCCTCCATTTGTATTTATGGTAAATTCAAAACCTTTTTCTTTTTCCTGAGAAAAACAACATGATTATGGATAAGCAATAACACAACAAAACAATGTTAAAAATACAGGAAAACTTGGGAAGGGGACGATGGTTACTTATACAATCGTAAAAATCAACCAAGAGCTATACCTGACTGGGATTAAACTTCGAAGTGGTATAATTCTTCTTCATCCAGATATGCAAAACAGCATCATGGATTGATAGGAAAAATATTGAGCTCTTGACTTCATCATCAAAGAATTCACACCGTGTGAGTTTCTCAATGAAATCATCTGAAGAGAGAAAAGAAAGGGTGAGACTTAAGAAAGAATTGACCATTTCTTCTGGAAACTGAGAACTTGTGCAAATTATGTTCAATATTTGACATTAAGGTTACAATGTCACAAAACCAGAGCATCATACTACAGTATTATTTGAAAGTATTTCTAATAAAGATATACATTTTATGTATATATCTCCTAATGTAAAAAGGATAAAGGAAAAGGGTTGAAGTGAGGAAAATTTTAGTGCTTCTAAAAGCAAGTATATCTACTTTCCTTTTGACACAAGTATGGTTTATTCTTCAAGCCTGGAATTCTGCCAAAGTAGAGCACATGTTGTGGACCAGTAATATATTGTAGCCCTGGATCATTAGGCCTTTTATTTACCAGTTATCATTCACATTGGTTTGTTTCCACAAGCTGCCACTCTGCAACACTTCCTTCCATCAGAAAGTATAGCACCTCACCTTTCCTCTCCAGTCATCTTCAAAGAACTCTCTTTTGTGGTGCACTAACTAGCAATTGATTCCCTATGTAGAACATCTGATTGAAAAATAGGTTGCTCTGGTTTCTCCACCCGTATGTCTTCATAGCACTGCCATTGCCCAAAATGTCTTTGTATGATTATGATCTGATTAGTAGACTATAAACTCTGTAAGGGCATGTCTTATTCACTGCTATATCCCTGCACCAAAGTAAACCACACTCACACTGTAACCCTTTGCCAAGATCTATTTTGTCCTGGGACTTTAATGAAAAGAAAGAGAATAAGAAGGCAAACAACCCTATACCTTCCCTGGAAGAAAAGTCTATTGGGGGCACAGACAGAACTGCAGAATAAGGGGATATGTGTGTATTCACAAATATAAGTAGTCTAAATACTGCAGTGCTGTGCCTGAGGAAGAAGCACATCCCCATAATTATTTAATGATAAATTCTTGAAGTTCTCATTGGAAAATGAGCTAGGAGAACATTCTAGCCAATGGACATGAGGTACTAGTTATTCTTTCCAAGGGCAAAGATGAGAAATAGATTGAATTAAGACTGGATTAAGGTTGTGGAAATGGAGAGAAATCTATTCAAGAAGACATACAGGCCTTATGGCTTACTGGACAGAGAGGAGGCTAGGGATAGAGGGAAGGAGGAGTAAGGGAAAAAGAAATTAAGATGACTCCAAGTTCTACTTTGGGTATTTTGGTTCTGTGGTATTGGACTGATTGATAGAGAAAAGAGGTAATAATTTTGGGAGGGAAAGCAATTATATAGTTGTAAAAATATGATTGAGGAATGTCCAGAGTGTGGAATCCCATGGACTTGCAGTTAAGAAGAAAGATATGGAGGTATAGTTTGGGGGATTCATTATCATGTACTTTAAATCATAAGCATTAGGAGATTGATTGGAAAAACTCATAAACACTAGGGGTTGACTAGAAGAAGCCTGAAATTAGCACCATAAGGTTTAAAGTTGAAATCTTAGGCAAAAAAAGGTGGGAGAGAAGCTCATGCTGGGAAGGTGGGAGGTGAATTAGAATAGTCTTGCAGATGTCAAAGATTGAGTGGTAAAGACAAATACAAGGAAGTCCCTTGAGAATGGAGTCTGTGATCAAAATCATCTGGACATGGCTAATGGCCTTCATAAGGGCATCTTCATAAGATGAAACAAGAACTAGGTGGCTATGGATTAAAGAATAGGAGAATAAGAAACAAGCTTGCCTTTTTAGGAAGAGTTATATATTCACCTATTTATTGCCTGGCAAACTAGGATTCAAATGATAAAGTTAATTACATATGGACAATGAAAATATGAAGATGCTGTTTCTGTAGACATTTTCATTAGCTTAGATACAAGTTAGACTTTCTTCTTGGTGACCATAAAACACCTATTCAGGGGAGAGGCTCTTTAGATTGAGAGTTGGAAATAAACCTGACATGATTGTCAAAATATAAAAATAAAGAAAAAGTAACTTACCATCGGTTCCAACAATATACACATCTACTTTGATCCTGATAAATTCTTGCAAAATCTGTTTAAAAAAAGTACATTTTTTTATGGAATAGTTTCACTTGTCAGAAATGTAATGAAAAATAATATAATTCTGCTTAGTGATATATTGCTTTCTGAACCTTTTGTATTTTGAAGTACGACAATAGTAGTATGACAAAGTTAAAAAACAAGGCCTTGACGACAGTAAATCCAAAGGAAAGGACTATACTCTTCAATAAAAACTTGTCACTGTCACTGTCCTCCTGTTGTTCATTGATTTGCTCGAGCGGGCCCAGTAACATTGTGAGACTTGTTACTGTTTTTGGCATATCGAATACATCACGGGTAGCTTGCCAGGCTTTGCTGTGCGGGTGAGATACTCTCGGTAGCTTGCCAGGCTCTCCAAGAGGGGCAGAAAAATTGAACTCTGGTTGGCTGGGTAGACTGTGTTCGAGGCAGACACCCTACCTGCTGTGCTATTGCTCCAGCCCTAATAAAAACTTACTCTTTATAAATTATAGTGTGTGTTATCTAAAGGAATATACTACCACAAGTAAACTTATTTTTGACCTTTAGTCACTGATTGGCTATTTCATTAAGAAAACAAAGTTACCGATTTGAGACTCCTCATTGAAGAGACGTCAAGAAATGATACTGCGGAAAAATCAAGAATGAGGCTATGCAGGCTGATGTTAGGAACCTCAATATTGAAAGGAAGATCAGCATTCCAGTCTATCTGGAATGGCAGGTCTGTGGTATTGATCGGTTGATCCAGTTCTTCTATTTGATTGTTATCCAGCTCGTCATCAGAATCTTTAAAGCCATCCATGGTACATATAAAGCCTTTCTGCAAGAGGAGTAGTAAGCATGATAAATCTGACCTCGAATAATATCATGTAAATCAAGGAAAACCATTGATTTGTCCTTTGAATCCAAAACATGGATTTGAAAAATATGGATCAAGAAAAAGAAAGACCAAAGTTGAGTAACAAAATTGGATTTGGGGGTACCTGGGATTCAGCTCAGTGATAGAGCACATGCTTTATATGTGTGAAGCTCTGGGTTTGGTCCTCAGAATATGTCCCCACCCACCCCTAGAAAATAAGATTGCAGTTGTTTTTGTTTTTGTGTCTCACCTGCCAGGGCTAGGAGCTATTTCTGACTCTGTTCAGGAGTGGACCATATATAGTTCTAGAGACTTGAACTGGGGTCAGTCACATGCAAAGACATGCACTTTACCTCCAGTACTTTCTGGCCCTGAGAACTCTTTTTTAGAATTAAAAAAAGAAAATAAATCCCAAAAGAATGAAAAAGTTGAGGAGACTGCAAACATACCATTTAAGAATATTATATTAGCAAGCCAGCAATATTATTATATTTAGCAAGCCAGGTATTTTTTAAGGCACTTATGCCTTGTACATAATTGATCTGGTTTGATTCCTGAAACTGCATCTGATCCCCTGAGCCCTACCAGGAGTGATGCCTTAGTATAGAGTCAGGAATAAACCCTTAACACCGCCAGGTACCCACCAACCCACTGAATGAAAAGACTAGAACCAACACCCTAAACTACATAAAACTTAAGTTTTTATCTTACACTACCAAAATATGATCAAGAAACTTACTGGTGTCACCTGTAACAGGCCTTTCTTCTGCATCTTTCGAATTTTTTTTAAAGCTTTGTTGCGCTTGCGTAAAATTCGAAGTGGATTAAAACCAACCTGAAAAATGCATTGCTCTGTTACAGCAGTACTGAATAGTTTTCTATCTTCAAGACATAATTTAACATAACATAAATTAACATAACAGTAGATCAAGGAGTTGGACCAACAAAATTATTTGTAATGAATTCAAAAGTTACTTAAATAATACACTATTACATAAAAAAGATGCTCAGTCTTTACACAGTTTTTAACATTTAAAAAAAACAAACAAACCCTTGTACTATTTTGGGCTTATCCATAAATTATGTGTGAACGGGTCCAAACAAGATCTTATCTGAGTTTACTGTTTCTATTTGTCTTTATTTATTTTCTGGGGATCAAATCCAAGGCCTCACACGTGCAAGGCCTGTGCTTTACTACAAATTATATTAGTCTTTCTGTGTTTCCATCTTACACAATTTTTAGGGAATATTTGTTTTCTGTTTGTTAAATGTGAATGGCATAGTATTCATATGAATGAGTATTCTGCTTTTGTATAATTTTACTTTATTATATCAAATGCTTCATGTTCTTATTTTGTAATTAGCATTAAATCTGGGATAAGCATTATTTTTCTTTTCAAAACAAACATATTCTTCATATGACAATATTTAGCTTCAGAGTAATAAGTTAGGAAGACCAAATTATGTGATAAAAAATCTTTGACAGAAACATAAATTGTCCAGAGGATAATAAAATCACAGATATAATTTTATCACATTTCAATCAAAAATTTGGGTGTAAAATATTTGATGCATATTAACTTAGTAAATATAGGCCCTAAAGTAGAAACTCAATACGAGGTAGAACTCTGGTATAACAAAAGTCATATTCAGGAGTAAGTACTGAGATTTTGTTTCTTAATCTAGAAGACCTTCCATTTTCTCTCCCATCCATCAGGGAATTCTGTTGTTTGTGCTAAATATTTATTTATACTGTTCTTATTTTTTAGGAGTTATATTGTAAGTATTCATTGGACTCTCTTCAAGGGTGGTATCAAATTTAAATTCTGCCTTTCTTTTTCTGAATGTAATGCCAAATTTCCAAAAAAATCATAGGATGTCTATTAAAAGCAACAGCCCCATCTTATGACTCTATTGGATCTTACCCAGAAATGTTATTCTCAAAATACTCATGGATTCCTTCTGTAGTAGTTTCACCTGTTCTGGGACATGGGTCAAAATCCAGCCTCATTGTATGCAAAGTAGTGACCCTCTTAAATTTGACCAATGATTTCATTACAAGGTATTTACTGAAATTATAACAAAATGAAAACCAAACCAAACCTTACAGCATCAATAAGTTTCTGCTTAAAAAATGTAATGTTTGCAAAGTAGATAGGGGATGAACATCTGAAAATTTTGACTCCTTCTGGTTCATAAATCTATAAGACAGAGAAGTAATATTAGATATCATCAATTGTCTTCCCAGTAATAGAATTTAGAACAAGTCAAAGTGAAAAATGAATCTTACATCAAAATAATCCTTTTTGTTCTTATAGATATTGCTCCTTCCAATATTAGCCAAGGTGCTGCATTTCGGGCTGAAGAGAAAAAAATCAAGAACACCAAGTGAACCATTCATACATTGCTGATAGGCCTATCAGGTGCACATTTTCCTAGTGTAACACAACATACACTTTTTTCAAAATTTAAAATGATTAGGGACTCATGCCATCAGTGATACCGGAAGGTAAACATTTTCTTTTTTTAACCTTTCTACAACTCTTAGTATAGTGTCTCCTATCTACCACATTCCAGTTTACAAAACATTGTCCAGGCTTTTGCTGTTTTGATGCTGAATATCACAGTTATTCAGTGAGATGAAGCAGTGTAGTTACTCATTTATATAGATGAGGACATGGATAAGTATCTATGACTGTGTTCAGTTGCTAGGAAATTAAAATGAATAAAAGGTAAAGGTAAAGGCCCTCCCGTTGATCGTCGATTTGCTCGAGCGGGCCCAGTAACGTCTCCATTGGAGACTTTGTTGTTACTGTGTCTGGCATATCGAATACTCTCGGTAGCTTGCCGGGCTCTCCGAGAGGGGCGGAGGAATCGAACTCGGGTCGGCCATGTTGGCCGCTTGTAAGGCGAACGCCCTACCCGCTGTGCTATATAAACGAACAAGAATTTTTTTATAAGTGTATCCCACTAGAGAAAGATGAACAAAAAGTATGGTAAACATATTCTGTTCTTAGGTATTTTATTTCTCAAACATAGATGTAACCCAACATAGACTGAGTGACCACATGGTGGTGATATTATACAGCAGAGGAACAAAAGTTCCAAAGCTGCTTGGACCAGATGGCACTTGAGAGTCTAGAATTATCTTGGAGATATCTTGCCTGCATCTCAACCTAAGATGTATGCTCTCAGTTTTTGGGTTGTCTGTGTTCTCTCTTGAACACCTGTAGCCCCCACTCCACACCCCACCCCCTCTCTTCTCTCCTCACAGTTCTCAAAAAACAAAAACACTGTCCTCCCGTTGTTCATTGATTGACTCGAGCGGGCCAAGTACCGTCTCCATTCTGAGACTTGTTGTTACTGTGTTTGGCATATCGAATACGTCACGGGTAGCTTGCCAGGCTTTGCCGGGCGGGCGAGATACTCTCGGTAGCTTGGCGGGCTCTCCGAGAGGGGCGGAGGAATTGAACCTGGCTCAGTGGGGCTGGCTGCGCGCAAGGCAAACGCCCTACCCGCTATGCTATCGCTCCAGCCCTCTCAAAAAAAAAACAAAACCAGAAAACACCTATTTGACAGATAGGACAAGACAAGACTTGAGAGAAGAGAGATTTGAAAATGTGCATAGGTCCCTAAAACAGAAAACTACAACTCCAAAAAAATAAAACCAGATTTAACACAGAATCCCATGTGGCCCTGCAGAGACAGTGCATAAGAGGACCCAGCTCTCAGCTCTGGGGCATTTTCCACCACGGAATGAGAAGCAGAGGAGCAGATAAAGCACTTAGTATCCCACCACTTAGTGGGTGTGGAAGGGTAAGCAGAGCTGACTAAGGCACAGAAGTTTGCCAGGGATAAAGGAGTGCCGCTTGCTGCCCTTAAACCTCTTCTTTCACATCTTTCACAACGCCTGATTAGGAGACAAGACAAGAGATGAGACAAGACCAGGCATCCAGGGAGGGCAGTTCCAGCAGCCAAATAGTTGCCCGCAGCAAGCTGGTCAGTGAAGCGGCCCCACCGTTATTCTGAGGCCACGGCAGGACAACTGACAGAACACTGCCTTCCCCAGGGGAAAACAAAAGTTGTCCTCCCTCCCATTGCATCTGACAGAGTGTGGGTATTCTTCCTGCCTCACAAAGGACATTTTCTTCAAAGAGAAAGAAAATGCTTTTTCTGTTCAAAGTCTCTGATTACAAGCCCCATTTGGTGCTCAAATTTATTGGAGTTCAAATGTTTTTGAGTTTTTTTTGTATTATTTTGGCTTGGGGCCCATACACACTGTGTGTAGAACTTACTCCTGGCTCTGCACTCAGGGATTACTCCTGGAAGGACTTGGCAGGAACATATGGGGTGCCAGGGATCAAACCCAGATTGACAGTGCATAAGGTAAGCACACTTTCCAGTGTACTATCACTCAGCCCCCAAACTTATGGGGTTTTGATGCCACAGTCACAGTTCAGTCCAGGCTACTGTGAACCCTGAGAGGCAGCACAGGTCTTTCTATCCATCCTTAGGGTTACAATGGACATAGAAATCTTGTGACCCAAATTTCTAGCAGCGGTTCAGAGCCACATAAACTCAGTCTCCATGTAGAATGAATGAGCATGATCTCTGGACTAGCAAGCAGACCTGTTTAAAATGAGACCTTCTCCCAATTCCCACAGTACAGCAGGCACAAAGGAGAAGGGGAGGGACTCATGGAAGAAGCCCAATCCCTGGCATAGACTTCAAGAATAAGGATATTCATCGAATTTACAAAAGCAATAGAAATGAACTCCAACACAGAAAAGAAAAAAAATGAAAAAACTTCCATCAGCTATCACTGAAGAACATAAAAAAGAATGTGAACTAAGAAAAAATAGACGAGCTCCGCAGCAGAATGCCAGATGCCAGTAAATTTAATCAGTGGCCTGAACACACCAACCAAAGGATATAGAGTAGCCAGATGGACCATAAAACTAGAACCAATCTTCTGCATGTGACCAGAAACACATAAACAGTCATGATAAAATAGGTCCAAGGAAAAAGACCAATAAATAAAAGAGTCTGAGATGGCCAAACCTATATCAGTCAAAATAGACCACAAAGTAAAGAGATAATAAGAAGCAGAGATGAGGGCACTATATAGTCATCAAGGAATCTATACATTCAGAAGACTTAACTCTCATTAACAGATGTGCACTAAATAAAGGAACATCAAAATATATGAATAAGATATTTAAAGCAACTAGGAACAAGTCTAAAGAAGGAAATCAACAGTAACACAATAGCTGTGGAAGATTTTAACAACCTTCCTTTTATCATTGTATAGATCAACCAAACCAAAAAAAAAAAACCAGTTTGTAAATATTAACCTTAAAAGAAGAAATAGAAGAGTTGTGTGTTTAACTGACAGTCTCAGCCACCTGAGGGTGCTGAAACATAGTATGTATTCACATCCTCTAGACATAAAGCAAGTGTGCATCAACTTATGAAAATAGAAATATTGTCAAGTATATTTTGACAAAGATACAGAAACAAACCACAGGGAAAAAGTTGGGGAAAACCCACCCAAAGAGCCCTGGCTGCTGAAAACCTCCAGAATCCAGTTTCTGTTGTGCTCATGGTCAACCTCCACAGGCTCAGACAAGCCTCATCCATGAATGAATCTGCTGAAAAAACTCAGGAATGCGAAATTTGTGACGGAAATCTTCAGGCTTTCAGTGGGAGATGGGCGACCTCCCCCCATCTCCCTGTCCTTCCAGTAGCCTGATAGTCATGTCCTCAACTGCCTCTGACACCATATAAGCTTATAAACTGACCATGATCCAGAGACTCACAAATAAATCTCAGAAGAGATCAACAAGCTACAAGGATGCCTCCAGACCCCAAAGTCACCATTCAGTTAAAAATTTAACTCTCGCTGTACCTTATTTAAAATTTTAGAATTCTTGGAGCCACATCTCATATACTATACCACTGATGTACCAGGTGCAGCACACATTGGAGAGGATGTAAAGTAGATTGAACTTCACAATCTCGATTAAAAAACCTAAGCACACAAGGCTCAACCTGTAACAACATATTAGTAATCTCTTATATAAGGGCGTAATGGCTCCAAGGTGAGATACAACAATCTTCACACACTTTCTTCTAAGGAAAGCCTTTTTGATCCTTTTTAGATTTATAATAAGCCATATTTAATAAATTATTTAAGGCCTGCGATTGGGGCAGGTTTGGATGGTGGTTAGGAAAGTTTGAAATAATGGTGGTCAGAAGGTGTAATGATGGTAGGATTGATGTTGGAATATTGAATGTAATAAATTATCATGAACAACTTCATAAAAATAAAATAAAATAAAATAATTTTTTAAAAGTTGGGAAAAACTCTAACACTTAGAAACTAAACAACATATTACTGGACAACCATTGGGTTAATGAAGAAACCAAATATTAAGAGTATTCCAAGAAACTAATGAGAATGAAGACACAAACCTCCCGAAAATATAGGACACAGAAAAGCTGTATTAAGAGAAATGAACAGAAATGCAAGCTTATATCAGGAACCAAAAAGGTACTCAAATAAATGACCTAACTTCACATCTCAAGAAACTAGATAAAGAAGCACCAAATAAGGAGTGAAGTAACAAAAATTGAAGTATAAGTCAGAGATAAAGATGAAAAAAATTGATGGAATCAAGTTCATTTTTGAAAAAAAATTGGTAAACACTTAGCTAGAATCCCCAAGAATAAAAGATCCAAATTAATAAATTGGGTCAAAAATGAAAGGTAAGAAGTTACAATAGAAATTTTGGAAATACAAAAGATATTATACTACTAGCAACAAATTTATGCCACAAAATTGGAGAACTAGTAGAAATGAGTATGTTTTTAGGATCTTACCGCCCTCTTTAGACTGAACTAGGAGGAAGTAGAAAACCTTAACAGACTAACTAGCACAGAAATCAAAACAGTAATCAGTTCTCTTCTTAAACAAGAACTCTGGTTTATACAAGCTCACTAATGAATTCTTCCAAACCTTCAAAGAGGACCTACTACATATCTTTCTCAAACTCTGCCAAATACCAAATAAACAAGAATCCAGAGACCTTGAACTAATAGTTTAGATAAGACTAACAAAAAGCTAACAAAAAGCAAACAAACATCACTAAAAAAGAAAATTATAGACCAATATTCCTAAAGAATGTAGATACATAAGTCCTAAACAAATTCTTAGTAAAATGAATTCAGTAATATAATGCAAAGATCATACTGCATAGTTAAGTGTGATTTATCTCAGGTATGCAAGTTTGTTCCAATATAAGGCAGTCAACTTTGGAATAACTCATGTGATATACCACATCAATAAAAGGAAACATGAAAACCATATGTTCATATCTATAGGTGTAGATAAATTTTTTGACAAGATTCAGTACCTACTAAGATAAAACCTCAAAAAACCTTTTTTGAGATTTTATCATAAGTGGGGATGGAAGAAATATATCACAATATAATAAAGTCCATATATAGCAATCCCTAGTTACTAATATATAAAATGGCAGAAAGCTGGAAGTCTTTTCTCTAGGATGAGTCATAAAGCATAGCAGTTTACTCTTAACACTGTTATTCAACATGATATAGGCAGTCTTAAACACAGTGCTTAGGCAAAAAAGAGAAAGAGATTACATCAGAAAAGAAGTCAGGTCTGGAGAGAGAGTGCAATGGGTAAGATGATTGTTGAGTATGCGTCTGTCTGATTGGGTTTGATTCCCAGCACGACATATGGTGTCCTGAGCACTATCAGGACCATGGAACTCATCCCTGATTTCAGAGTCAGAAGGAATCCCTGAGCCAGGTGTGTCTGCTCCAACACCCCCAAAATAACAACAACAACAACAAAAATCAAAGGAAAGAAGAACTCAAACCATCATTATTCACAATGACATATTTTGTAGGAATTCCCAAAGACTCCACCAAAAACCTGAAAATAAACCTATACAGCCTAGTGGCAGTGTCCAAAATCAATACATAGAAAAATGTTTCATTTTTATGTGCAGTGATGCAGAAGGGGAAGAAAAAATCTAAATCCCACTTACAGTTATGAAAAAAATAAATCAAACAGGGGCCAGAGAGAGTACAGAGATCAAGACTCTTGCTTTGTATACAGCTGACATTGGTTCAGCTGGAAGCATGTTTCCCCTCCATCATAAAGTGCAGCCCCTGAGGCCCCCACACATCCCAAGTGTGGCCCAGATAATCCTGCCACCACAAGGCCAAGCACTTCCTGGAGCCCTTGTGCTGAACCCCTGGCCTGCTTGGCTGAGAGTAACCAGAAGTAACTCCAGGCTTCATGTGCATTACTTGGGAGAATCCCCCTCCCCCTTCCAAATCAAGTAACCAAGAATAAACTTGAAAGGAGACAGAAGACTTAGTGATTGAAAGCTGTATTTCATTACTAAAATAATAGAAGACACAGGAAATTGAAAAGTGTTTTTTGTATTGGAAGAATTAACATTATTAAAAATGACCTGTAGTGGATAAGGTGGTTGCCTTGAATGTGGCAGACCTGGGTCCTGTCCTTAGCAGAACACCATATGGTACCCCAAAATGTCTAGTAGTGAACCCTGAGTACAGAGACAAAAGCAAGCTCCAAGAACAAACAGGTAGAGCCCACCAAACAAACAAACAAACAAACAAACAAAAAAGAACCATCCTCCCCAATGGCTATATCAATTCAATGCAATCTTTATCAAATTTCTATCAAATTTTTCTAGAACAGAGAATAAATAATGTTGAAATTTTCATGAAACCATAGAACTCCCTAAATAGCAATTCTGAGAAAAAGATGGTAAGTATTGCATTTTCTGACTTGAAATTATATTATAAACCTACAGTAATCAAAACTGTATGGAATAGTAGACTATAAGATCATGAGGCCAATGAAATAGTATAAAGGTCCCAGAGGCAAGCCCTCGGATATGTGGATAGATATTCCAGCTGTTTGCCTTGCACATGGCTGAACCGGGTTTGATTTCCCCCAAACGTGGTCTACATGTGGTCCCCTGAATACTGCCAGTAGTGATTCCTGCACACGAACCTGCAGTAAGCCCTGAGCACAGCTAGGTGTGGTCCATTTTTTTTTTGAGTTTCTGCACTAGGAAGATATTACAATTAAAATTAAAAGGCAACCTGCTAAATGGGAGAAAATAATCACACTTCACATCTGACAAGGGGAAACTATTCAAGATTTATAAAATACATAACAGCAAAAAGACATTTTGATAAAAAAAAATGAGGAGAGGAACTAACTATATACTTCCTCAAAGAAGACATAGAAGTGGCCAGCACCCATATGAAAAAGTGTTCATTTTCACTGATTATTGGAAAAATGCAAATCAAAAGGACAATGAGATCCCACCTCCTACAATGAGATTGGTCTGTATCCAAAAAGTCCTGAAGCAACTAATGCTGGTGGTAAAGGAACCCTTACTCACCTATGGTAAGATTGTCATCTGGTTCAGCCTTTATAGAAATGGCAGAGAGACATCTCAATAAAAACCCAAAAATAGAAATTCTGGATGGGGAGATAAAACTCAAAGGCTGGTGTATAAGCTCACATATGGGAGCCCTGGACTTGGTCTGTGGCAACTGGATGGTTCTCTGAGCACCACCTTGCAGGGAGCAGCCCCAGAGCACTGCACCGAGAGAGTAGCCTCTAGAACTATCAAGTGTGGCCCCATAACAAAACTACAACACACACACACACACACACAACCAACTCTTTTGTATGACCCAGACATTCCTCTCTGTAATACCTATCCTAAAAACACAGAAAACTTTTTTTAAAAAGATATTTTCAGGGGTTGGAGAGATAGCACAGTGGGTAGGGCGTTTGCCTTGCATGTGGCTGGGGGTTCAATTCCCAGCATCCCATATGGTCCCCTGAGCACTGCCAGGAGTAACTTCTGAGTACAGAGCCAGGAATAACCCCTGTGCATCGCCAGGTGTGACCCAAAAAGCAAAAAAAAAAAAGATATTTTCAAACCAAAGTTTATTGCTGCAGAAATTATAGCATTTGTACTCAATCGAATACTACTTAGCTATGAGAAAAGATGAAATCTTGTCCAAACACTACAACTTGGATGAAACAGGAAGATAACATGTTAAAGAAAGTGAGTCAGAAGGAGAAAGGCAAACACCAGATAACCTCACTTATGTAGAGTATAAAGAAACAAAACTAAGGAATCATAATGGCCAATAGAAACTGAGATTCCTTCTATAGAATGGAGTTTGACAAGGGGCAGGGCTGGGGTCAGAGGCAGAGAGACCTTGTTACTAAAGTATAGGGTGTGGTGCAGTAGTAATAGGTGCTTAAAGCATTAATATTTTAATTAATGTAGCCACTATAAATCATAATATCCCAATAAAAAGGGATAATTTTAATTTTAAAAAAGGCCCCAAGAATCCTAAGTAGTTTTCATGGAATGTCATGCAGTTCTCTGTTATTTAAGGTGAGAGTCCAATCTAACCATTTTTGAAGAGTGCCAATCCTTCACTCTATACGCTGACGTGCATCATCTTGGATAGCACGTTCCCAGGTTTAACAAGTCTAAGCAAAGATATTAAGCTCACTCAGAATATAATTACTTCTAATTGTCAGCTGCGTAAATAGACTCTAGATTTATGAGTTTTTTTTTTAATTGGTGTCAAAACAGCAGCTCAAGTAGGTGGTGAAATCTGTACTGAGTTTTTTTTTTTTTTTTGACAATTCTGGTCATGGTTTGACAAGGGGCAAGGCTGGGGATTGGGGATGCTGTCAGAGGCAGAGAAACCTTGTCACTAAGGTAGTGGGTGTGGTGCAGTAGTAGTCCTTCCTTCCTCCCTTCCATCAAGGGGAGCAAGTAGCTGAGCAAGAGCATACAGGCCATCCTGGTAAATGCGCATTCCTGTCAATTCAACTACTTCTTGCTTAACTAGCGATCCCCACCCCCACCCCAATCCCTGCACTTTCCCCCCTTCTTTAGAGTTGGGTAGGTTAAAGTGTGCCAGGATGTAGAACATGAGAACTCACAATTGGGTCCTGAATACGATGGTGAGGAGCTGAAATGCCACACTAGCTGCCAGGCCTAAGCCAAGTCCCAAGACAATGGCAAAGATGAAAGTCATGATCCAAATTACCTGGAAAAAGAAGACAACATCTACGTTATGACTTCTGACGACTAAAGTACAGTGCCTTAGTTCTAGATCTCTGAGAAAGGAAAGCATAAACTTCTAGTGCTAAAAGTAGATGTTGGATGTGTACAAGAGAAAGGAGAAGGTATTTCTGTGTATGTGAGTTCCAAATCACAGAAAACAAGTAAATATGTCGGTTTTTTAAAAAAAATATTTTTATTTAATTAAACCTAGGGAAAATGTACCTGTTTCTAATCCCTTGCCAGAGTCTGTCTCAACTAAAATAATAAGACCAGTAATTATTGGTTTTAATAAGAAAATCACTCTCTCTGTCACTGTCCTCTCGTTGTTCATTGATTTGCTCGAGCGGGCCCAGTAACGTCTCCATTTTTTTGAGACTTGTTGTTACTGTGTTTGGCATATTGAATATGTTGCGGGTAGCTTGCCAGGCTTTGCGGCGCAGGTGAGATACTCTTGGTAGCTTGCCAGGCTCTCCGAGAGGGGCGGAGGAATCAAATCCGGCTAGGCTTGGCTGGCTGCTAGCAAGGCAAACACCCTACCGCTGTGCTATTGCTCCAACCCAATCAATCAGAAAATAAATTGATAGAATTCATTTCTTTTCCCTCCCTCCCTCCTTCCTTCCTTCCTTCCTTCCTTTCTTTCTTTCTTTCTTTCTTTCTTTCTTTCTTTCTTTCTTTCTTTCTTTCTTTTTCCTCACTACCACAAAAATGCTCAAGGCCCTCCACAAATGCCTTTATGTAACTTCCAGTTTATTTCTTCATTCCACCAATACCTCTTAACTGATAGAATTTATGCTAACACTTTTTGTTAGATTGAGTTCACATTATTTTACACAACTGTCTCTATATATCTATATCTATACAAACTCATGTCTTTTTAAAGTAATGTGCTTCCATACCACAGCTACTAACAAAGTTTCAATATCTCTCCACCACACTTCTCTGGACCTGTCCTCCTCTGGTCTGCTGATTTAATTCATGGCTATTATCTCTAGAAGAATTTTAGCATACCAAAAGACTTGCTAAAACCACCAATGATTACCAATCAAGAATGAAAGTAAAGTCAAGTATTACTCTATGCTTGCAAACTATAGTAGAGTATGTTAAACATTTGTATGCCATAGACTTTGATCCTCATATGGTTCTGGACTCTGTTTTTCATAGCAAGACATGCTGAGAGCAAGAGTTGCTCTTATAGAGTAGTTCTGGAATATTAGAATTTAAATTTCCCAGATTCTCTGGAAGTGGACATGTGATGTCATGAGAACAGGATCTATTCAGCCCCTAAAATTTAGAAAATTTCTGTGCCATTTAGGATGGCTGCGGGACTTTTTTACAATAGATTTAAGAAGTTAAGTTAAGATATCCTTAACTAGCATATCCTACATGCATGGATATGGATATGGAGCATATCCTACATGCAAGTAGCTCATCCTTTAAAAGTACAACTCCAGAGGACCATCGTTGAAGTATGCAGTTTAAAGATGACAAATAAAATTAAGGTTATTTTGCCTCTACTTACACAATCATACTTATCCTTTCGCCATAATCTTCGCATTTCAGTGAACTGCATCAGCATTCCCTTTAGGTTTCCAAGTGCTAAAGCTGCCAAGACAGACTGTAAAAACATGAACAGCAGACATACTTTCAGATAACTACATAATTCACAGAGAAGCAAAGGTGAGGGTTGTAGATAAGTGAGTCTTTCAAAGGGCCCCAAAGCTGATAAAAGGATACTCCTTTTTCCGGTGTGCAATGCCAAGTAAGATACACCAGTCCTGGAACTCTGACCTGTCCTCAGGAATGACTTTATCTCCCACCACAGTAAGAGATGCTAAACGACTATTTGTGGTTATGCCATTGAGGATCTGTCGCCCAGATTTTGTTTTATGGTATCTTAAAAAAAAACTGTGGTACCAAGGATGGAACCCAGATCTCATAGGTGTAAGGACAGTGCTCTCTCTTGGAGCCAGACCCACATCCCCCCATAGAAGATCTGATGACAGTTACTAACCCATATCTTGGAATAGAGAAAGGTGACTTTTAAGATCTATGACTGAAATAAATTCTTCCTGATCTGAAATAATCGATCATGTGTCTATTTATTGGAGATAAGAAGTAGGGCTATTTTTTTGTTTGTTTAAGTAAGTTCAACAAGATTCAGAACAAATGTACAAAATTGTAAAAAATAATAATTGAGGGAAATTTCTGTCCTGGAAACAGAATTCAAACCTTTGTAATGAACAGCAAGCATCCCCTAATGTAAAAGGAAGCTAAAGAACACAGACAAGTTAACAAAGATTTAAGGTCAATTCTCTAGGACAGAATAGACCATCTTTCTTGTAGCACTGTCACTGTCCTCCAGTTGTTCATTGATTTGTTTGAGCAGGCCCAGTAATGTCTCCATTATGAGACTTCTTGTTACTGTTTTTGGCATATTGAGTACGTCACAGGTAGTTTGCCAGGCTTTGCCATGCGGGCAAGATACTCTTAGTAGCTTGCTGGGCTCTCTGAGAGGGGTGGAGGAATCGAACTCTGGTCGGCCAGGTCAGCTGTGTGCAAGGCAAATGCCCTATTTGCTGTGCTATTGCTCCAGCCCTTTCTTGTACCAAGTTAAACATATTCCCAGTATTTATCATGGCAAGTACATATAGTATGCAATATTTATTAATGTTTAGTCAGAAAGTATTTACTTATTATTTAATTTTTAATATTTAATTTATTTTATCAAACTACAACAATATGTTAATATTTATTATAGATAAAATAAATACATGTTATAAATAAATTTGCATTAAATATTTTATTTATTTTCATAATCATTTTAATATTTTAATTGTAAGTGAATGAGATAATAAATTAATATTTTTCAAGCTAGAACTAACTGCTCAGTAACATGACATCTTTTAAGAAACCTTAGTGGATGTACTACCATTGATTAGTAGATCCACTAAGAGTGGTCTGGATGTTAAACTCAACTTAGATATGGCAACTTTCAGGCTTCTAATTCTGCACACGTCAAAATGAGACAAATTTTCTTGAAGGAACTATGATAGTTATGGTGAAAAATGCTGAATAGCAAAGTAAACTTTCATTTTAATGAATTTTAAAACAGAAATGGGTCCAGAGCAATGGGTACAGTCTGTAGGGCACTTACCTTGCATGTGGTTTGATCCCCAGCATCCCATATGGTCCCCTGAGCACTACCAGAAGTGATCTCTGAGCGCAGAGCCAGGTACAATCCCTGAGGACTGCTGGGTGTGGGCCCCAAACCAAAAACAACCTCCCCAAATAACACCCCAAAAGCTCCCAAAGAAATAGTAATTGTTCTAAAATATCAATCCCGATTGTAAGCTGTTCTGAGTGTATACCCTAGATTCTCTGTATATGACTGGGAATGGTGTGCATTTATTATTATTGACACACACAGCCTTCTATTTCATTGGTGCTGACTTCTTGGTAATTTTATACCAGTCTTTCAGAAATTAGCTTTCTCTATGGAGAATGCTTTCTTTCGACAAACAGTACTCTGTGGTGACTGAAAACAGATCTGAACACTTTGCAAGTCCAGTAATCTGGCATTAAATTTACTTTACAGCTACCAATCAGCAAGGAAAGAGACCTAGATCAAATGTCAGACACTTGTGGGCTATGTCCTATCTTGATAACCTTTGTAGTCAGAGGTGTTACGGGAGGTGTGTTGAACAACAACAATAAAATTAATGATTATTATTCACTGAGTATTTATTGTGTGCCACACCTGGGGCTAAGGACTTCATGTACATTATTGCAACAGACTATTGTCAGCAACTCGGTACTATACTCTATCCCTTCCTTTTTACAAATTGGTTTACTGATAGGCAAAGTAATTTTCCCCTAAGCACCCAGATAACAAGTAGGTGAGTCGGGATTAGAAGTAGGTCCTATAGAACACTACAGTCCGTGTACTATGTGAAAATCATATTGATAGCACAAAGAACAATTATCTGATTTCTCAGAGATGCTGTTCCCCAAGGTTTATTATTAATTTCATTCAATCTGGATACCGTGGCAGCTTATAGAACATTAGATCAAATCCTCAAAAATGAAAGTCCAGGAGAGATGGACAGAGGAGCGTGAGGGTGCAAGTGTGAGGTCTTGTCTGGCTGGATGCTCCCACCCTGCACTCAAATAGTTTAGACTTGGAGTCAAATCAAACATTGGCAGCTTCTGGGCGTAGTCTGAAGACAGATTGGTAGCTGGTAGCACCATTCTCTGAAGTTAGATAGTGGCTGGATGACCTAACCTTTAAGAAAATCTTCACTTCAGTCAATCCCTATTGAAGCTGCAGAGCCAGTGTACCTTACTGTCTAAACTTTTGGAGTCACAAACATGTGGAGGGTAGAATAGATAAGGTGGTTTGGGCATCTGCATTCCTAACATTCATAAAGTGCTGCCAGGAGAAAAATTAAAGGAAAAAAACAACAACACATTTTTGGACTCAAAGTATTTGCTAAGAAGAGTACTTGAGAGTTTGTAGTTACTGAATTTTCCCTTATTTATTTATTACTTTTTATTTATTTTTGTTTTGGAGGCCACATCTGACTGTGCATAGGGCTTCCTCCTGGCCCTGTGCTCAGGGATCACTCTTGGCAGTGCATAGGGAACTTTATATGTACTGCTGAGGACTGAACCCAGGTAAGCTGGATGCAAGGCAAGTGCCTTCTCCATTGTAATATCTCTCCAGTCACATCTCCCCTACTATAATTTATGATTGCAGCTTTTAATAACCAGGTTCATACCACAAAAGAGAGAGTTGGTATCCAAAAGAGACAAGGGTTACCTTTTGTAGTGGCTCTAAAAGGAATCCAATGGCTACAATGGTAATCAGCACAATGATAGCAGAGAGAAGTCCCGCAATCTGTGAGGATAAAAATGTTTTCATTGCAAATTCAACTTTCCCTTGCCCCAGACCCCAGTGACTAAGATCAGGATGATCCCCGAAGACAAGATCCTGAAATACCTGTGTTTTGCCTCCTGTACTTTCCTGAACCCCTGATCTGGAGAGGGCAGTACTGGCAGCAAATCCTTGGAAGGATCCAGTGAACACATTACTCACTCCAAAGGCTATTAATTCCTAAAGGGAAAGAAGAAAGAATCTTCCTGAGAAAATGGCATTATTGATTGTATGCACACAAAATCTTAGTTAAAGTTTGCTCATTAGAATCAGGGTAGGTTGTCAACTTACCTGATTTCCATCAATGGGATAATCATATTTTAGGGAATAGATGCTGGCAACTGAAAAGGCCACGGCAAAGCCAACAATTGCAATGCTGAAGCTATCTCCAATAGTTTCTTGGAAATATTGTACGTTGGGTGGAACAGGAGCTTTAAATCTAAAATTGAAATAAATCAGGTCTCACTAACCTGCTTAGGAATCTTTAATGATTCAATTAGCTTTCAGGAAAAGTCTGAAGTAGATCTACTATTATCATTCGTAAGGCCCTGATGTATTCCTTACGCCTTCTCCTACCTAATCACCATCATTGCCCAGAGTTTTTTTCTCAGATCATTACAGAGAGCTCAGAGTTTTGGTCAAGGTTTTTTAGTTTGTTTCTTAAAGGTATCATACCCTTTTGCTTACCTTGAAAGCATCAAATTTTCTGTTTACTCTACCTAAGTCACCCACTCTTTTCTACATTTTTTCTTTCAGGAAGTCTTCCCTGACCACCAGGGTTAAAATAAATTCTCTGTGATTTCCTGGCTCTTGATGGTTCTTTGTCAACCCCTTACGCTTTACACAGACACTGAGTAAGAACTGAGGTTGTTTCATTAGACCATGACCAGGGTTGAACATTCTTTATGCTAATTATCAGGTGGTCATATTTGTTGGGCCGAAAAAAAAAAGCCCAAAATAGATCTGAGTTAAGCTGAGTTGTGCCTCAATTTAGAGTAAGATTAACAAGAATTCAGTTCCACTGAAAACTTTGAAATCAATTGCCTTATTGTTGAAAAGTGGGGCTCTCTGAATTTGATAAAAGACTTGTAAATTCAGTCCAATGATAATGGTAGATTTAATGATTTTAATAGCTTACTATATTCTAATGTTTACATATCCCCATAAGCTTGATGCAAAATATCTTATATTCCACTTGCATTGTTACATTAGATTTCAAAACATCACCCACAATGCCTGAAATAGTTATCCCTAAATGAGGGTTCATGGAGCAAACATGACTCTGAGACAAGGAAAGTAAGGAAGCTTCAACAATTGATAACAAAAATCTCAATGGAAAATCCCTAGCAGACAGATGAGCACTGAACTTTGCCCTACACTCCACATAACTGCTCAGTAACTGTATTCCTGATCGAGAAGGAAAGTTTCAATTTAAAGTAATACAGTTCCAGAAAAATTTCAACTTATGAAGTACAATTCTGTGCTTTTATCTTATAAACCTAGAGCAACTAAATGATCTAATTATATTTCTCCAAACAGAAAACCAAGTACCTTATACTCAACACCAATTTAAATGCTCGATTCCTTCAAATATTCCTGATCTAAAACTTATTGGAAGAGAGTAACTGGATTAAACTTTTTCTTAATGGTTGTTTGTGTTTTGGAGATATCAATGTTAATAAAGTTTAAGCTCTAATTATGAAGAATGGCTTATTTCATATAGAGTCATAAATCAAAACATTCACATGGATTTCTTAAAACTTGAAATCAGACACCTACATTTTTCTATTATTCCTTCTCTAAGCACCATAGACAGAATGGTATCTGATGGAGTTGTACAGTCTGAAAATCTGAATTCAAGGTTTTCTGCAGCTTTAAGGCTCTGCAGCTTACCCTCTCTAAGTTAATTTTCTCATTTGTAAGTGAAAATGATATTCACTCTTTTTTATTCATAATTTCTGTGGAAGGGTCAAAAGGAATAAAGAATGCATAAATATACACTAAAAAGTACAGTGTCTATTAGCTATTTTGTCCCTCTTAAAATTACAGCAAGCTGGAGCTATAGCACTGTGGGTAGGGTGTTTACCTTACACGTGGGTGACCCGGGATCGATTTCTCCACCCCTCTCGGAAAGCCTGGCAAACTACTGAGAGTATCCCGCCCGCACAGCAAAGCCTGGCAAGCTACCCGGGATGTATTCAATATGCCAAAAACAGTAATAACAAGTCTCACAATGAAGACGTTACTGGTGCCTGCTTGAGCAGATCAATGAACAACTGGAGGACAGTGCTACGGTACTAAAATTAGAGCACCATGATTTACAAAGTTACTTTTTGCTTTGTTGTGGGGCTACACTCAGCAGTGCTTAGGGCTTACTCCTGGCCCTGAGCTCAAGGATCACTCTGGCAGGCCCTGGGGACCATACTGGGTGTAGGGGATCGAAAGTGCATCAGTTGCATGCAAGGTAAGTGCCTTACCCGTTGTACTATCTCTGACTCCAACTAAGTTCTTTACAGAGTTTCAGGGAAACAATGTTCCAACAACAACCCTACCATAAGTAGGAAGTCCCTTCTATTATCTACTAATATAGAATCTCTCTGAATATTCTTTGTATTTTCTTTGCTTTTTCCAGTGATCCCTGCACACCTTTTCTTAATCCAGTAAATACAATAGAACCATTTGCAAATTCCTCCTCCAAGCTGAGCCTGTCTTTTTGCGTGGGGCAACATTTGTTCTGACTTTGTTTTGAGCTGGTTCATGAGAAAGGACAGCGTGTGCATATCCGGAATGCTTAATCGGAGCGTGTAGGTAGTCCTTCAGTGTCTCTTTTGAACTGTCAAAACTTGGCTCCAATAACCTCAAACAAAACACTCCATTTTGTTTATAGTAATTTATGGACAAGGAAATCTGGTTACATCTGGTTCCTCTTCTTTTTCTTTTTATGAGAGGAGCAGGTTTAACTTGTTAATTTTTCTACCTTTACTATTCTGCTTTTACTTGCATATGGGTATCTGCTCATTTGATTAGTGAGTTCTTCCATAAGAAGAAATTCATTGCTATTAGAAACTGGGGACCCTGGCATAGCCCTTTGAGGCTTTTTCCTAGGGGAATAGTGAGCTTTTGTGGGATCACGATGGGTTCTGACCTTGGTTTAATAGTCGGTGCATTTTTTTTCCTGTAGTCTTCTGAAATTTTTGTTTACTCTCTAATTTATACTTGGAGATGACCCCCCAAAGATTCACTTACCCACGTGGCATCTCCCCAATCACAGTCACATTAAACCTTTTTTCGAAGTCAAAGCCATAGGATACACCTGTTGCGATCACAGTCTGTGAAGTTGCAAAATTGTGTAAGTTAGAAATGTAAGTTACAACTAAGAGTCTTGCTTTGAAGAAAAAGAGGGAAAAGCCCCCTTTTTCAACCACCCCTTGCCCCCAACCCCAACCCCTGGACATACTAAATAATAATTACTTTTCTCAGACTGGGGAGATAGCTCTAAGGGCTAGTGTGCGTGCTGTGCATGCAGGAGGCCTAGGGTCAGTTTCTGGCATTGCATGATTCTTTGAGCACCACTGGGAATGTTTCCCGGACACAGAACCAGGGGTAGCTCATGAGCGCTACTGGATATAATCAGCAATATCATATCCATAGAGAAAAGCTCCAAGAAACCCTCTCACTTTCCAAATTAAAGAGAGGTCTTGGATCTGGAGAGATAGTAAGTATAGGGGGTAAGGCACTTGCCTTGCACAAGACTCACCTGGGTTGGATTCCCTTAGCACCACCAGGAGTAATCACTGAGCATGAAGCCAAAAGTAAGCCCTGAGCACTGCCAGCTGTGGTCCAATCCCCCCACACTCTAAATACAAGTCTGGATGCAGTTTTAATTTGTACCTGTATTGAGAACCACAGCTCTAATTCCAATGAATCTTTCACTACAAGAATTCAGAGATAATGCTTACTGTAGTTTCCTTATATGGAAAGAATGAACTCAAAACCATAAAAGGTAACATTGAATGAAGAGAAAACCATACTAAGGATTATGCTCAGTAGAGATGGCATCCAAGCCACTAAAATCTCTCATCTACAGATAATAAAGAGCTTTCAATATAAAAACCCTAGGCTGATATGAACTATAAAAGAAGGTCTTAAAAAGATCAGTTACCATGAAGAGTTCAATTGGGATGGGCACTGGAAGTTTGGCTTTGTAGCGCTGATTGATTTCTTTAACCACAAATACAACTATCAGGATAACCAAGGATGTCACAAGGTCTGCGATATTAGTCTGCTCTATTTGTGAGAATATGGAAATTAGTACCTAGAATAAAAAAAAACACACACATTCTCCATTAATGTATGATCCAGATACAAAGAAATTATTTCCAAATAATTATTAAAGCAAAAAGATTGACAGTGATTCCCAATTCTGCACATGTCAATCAGGCAAGTGTAATTATAGAGATAAGCATGGAGAGGAGAGAAGGGTGGGTTTGCACAGCACAGGTGCCATGCTTTGGGAATTTTTCTGTGCATCTCATTAAATAGTGTTTAATTTTCTTGGATACTTTTCACAGTGGTCTCTCTAGCTCTTAACTTTCTTTTGTCCATCTTTGAAATTTTCACTATCATTACTATTCTCTCCAGGGAATAACTTTAGATCCCTGATAATTTTAAAGCAAAATTTTTTAAAATTGAAACTTATTTTGAAAGATGCGAAGGGAGATAGAGAGAGAGAAGTACATGTTTAAAAGAGAACACAGGCTTCTCCAGAGTGGAAAAAAAAGGCAAAGAAACATAGAGGCAAGCAAGTAAGTTATGTGTACAAGGGAGAACACGGGTTGAAAGAGCAAGCGGGATTCCTGACAGTTTTTCTTTCTTGCTGTGTCCTTTTTGTTTTGTTTGATTTTGGGCCATATTAAGCAGTGTTCAGCGGTTACTCCTATTTCTGTGCACAGGGATCACTCTTGGTGGACTCAGGGGACCATACGGGATGCTGGGGATTGAGCCCTGGTTGGCCACATGCAAGGCAAATACTCTACCTGCTGTATTATTGCTCCTCACTCCCTTAATGTGTCATTTAAATCCTGGCCATTTAAAGGTCAAGACCCTTATACTTCTTGGCTGATGAGGTGACTATCATTTGTCAATTGGTTTCCTGGCTATCAGTGCACTATGCATTCTTGATACAGCTGGTTTCCAGGTCAATGTGCCTAGGACAGAGCAGGTCCAAACAAGGCTTGGACCGTACTCTGTGGAACAGTCTAAACAGAACCGTGTGTGTTAGTTCCAATTTAAGGCAAGTTCTGTCTCAGTGTCTGAAACACTGGGTTGATATAAAAAAAGGGACAGGAGGGGCTGGAGCAATAGTACAGCAAGTAGGGCGTTTTCCTTGCATGTAGCCAACGGGGGTTTGAGTCTCAGCATCCCATATGGTCCCCTGAGCACCGCCAGGAGTAATTCCTGAGTGCAAAGCCAGGAGTAACCCTTGCGCATCGCCAGGTGTGATCCAAAAAAGAAGGGGCAGGAAAGATAGTACAGGAAATAGGGCACTTGCTTTATATGCAGTTGCAACTACTAAGACATTGGTCCAAATCTCAGAGCACTGACAGAGGTCACTCTTGACCACAGAGGCAGAAATGGCCCCAGAGCTCTGCTGAGTATAGACACCTTCCCCCTACCAAATAAAAAAATAAAATAAGTGCTAAGACCACTAGTCTATAGAATATTCCCTGGAGTGGGAGAGAGTCACTGTCCTAATTTATATTGGCAAATTTCCTTTAGCTTTATATATAGGGATGCCTGCAAGGCATAGAAGGAATTCAATTCTAAAAGCAGAAGATTCCTTTTTAAAATAATAAGGAGCATTCTAATTCAAAATTTCTCTCAAAATCTGATTTTGAGAGAAAAAATTGGAATAAGATACTAAAACCTCTAAAAATATACTTGAGTAGTTTTTATTAAAAAAATTTTCAAGTTGGGGATGAGATGATAATACAGTGGGTAGGGCAATGCCTTGCATGTGGCCAACCTGTGTTCAATCCCTGCCATCCCCTATGGTCCTCTGAACACCGCCAGGAATAATTCCTGAGAGCAGAGCCAGGAGTAACCCCTGAGCACCTCTGGGGATGACCCAAAACCAAGCAAATCTCAAGTCAAATCTTAGAGAGGTGGCAATTAATTTTTATTCTTTGCTATCTGCATGGGAGCTGTATTTGAGTTTCAGTATTTTTCTTTTTGTCTCTAACTTTTTCTTAATGCGAACAAATTGCACATTCATTGATTTCTTGGAAATTGTAGGTAAATGCTGGGCAAAGGCATTAAAGGAAAATTCTCCTAAAAACATGAGAATAAATTTCATGCATCTCAATATTAAAATATTTCAAGTATTTCAATATTCAAATATTTCAATATAGCCAAAGGAATAACTTACTTTGAAGAGTGAAAATGGATCCGTGTGTGCCGGGACTTTCAGCTGCAACATAAACTTAAGCTGGGAAACCAGAACATGGACAGCGGCGGCTGTGGTGAAAGCACTGATTAAGGACTCTGATAAATAGACTGACACAAATCCAACCTGCAGACACCCCATGATCAACTGGAAAATGAAAAGCAAAGGGTCTTGTTGGTGTAGATTAGTAATATGTCCCAGCAACTGAAAAATTTGTCTTTCAAAGAATTCGAAATGTAAATGTTGTTTGACCCATTTAATATCTGACTTGAAAAAGCAAATGTCCCAGTATCTTGGACTACCTCTGTACCCCTTGCCCCCTTTCCTTTTCTCTGTTTCCCCTAAAGATGAAATGTTACAATTCAAATAATGTGTCTAATACACCTTCAAGAAACAATAGTAATTTTTAGAAGACTCACTCATAAATCTTTGCAGGAGAATCTTATTAGCATCAACCCTCAGAAATTCTCAGGTTATATTTTATAGCTGTGGTCATCTGCCTGGGTGAACACACTACAACCACTGACATTTTCTCAAACAAGTTAGTTGACTGTCTTGAGAAATATGTAACAATCTTGGACACAAGCAGTGATTGGTTTTAACTTGGCTGCAGTGGTTCATTTCCCCGACACATTGGTATTTTGCAATAAGATGAGTAGATATATCTTCCTTTCCTTAGATTATTGACCTGTCTTTCTACTCATGACTCTGGAATGCAGCCAGAGCTGTGAACCTACAAAGGTACTAGATACAGAAATGTACTAGAAAGAGTTGACTTCATTATTGGTCAAACACACCACTGAATTTTTTGTATTCCTTTTTTTTCTTTTCTTAAAGGATCCCTAACCACACACACTTGCAACATCTTGAGGAGTCTGTGACACATTTGCACTATTCAACAAATGTGTCAGGAATATATTTTAAAACAAGGTATTCAGCCCTTCCAAATCCTCTTCAACGTTCCTCTAATCTTTTGTTTCTTCTTTTTGGGTCCCACCTGGCGATACTCAGGACTTTGCACTCAGGAATCACTCCTGGCGGTGCCCAGGGGACCATATAGGATGCTGGAAATTGAACCCGGGTCGGCCTTGTGCAAGGCAAACGCCCTACCCACTGTGCTATCACTCCAGCCCCATTTCCTCTAATCTTTGATAGAAACGATTCAAAGTGCCCGACCCAAATCCCTCCCAACTAGATTACAGTCCCTAAGGAACTAGAAAAACTGTTCCCAGCTTCTAGTGTCACTACTGCTCACACAGACCTATGCTTAGTGACTATATCTATTCCAGGTACTCTAATGGATAAAACATTTCACTCCCCACCCACCGATGTCTTCCTGTTTCCATATTTACTTCTATTTTTTGTGGTTATAGTAGAAATAAAATCTCCTCTCCTCTCCTCCCTCCTCTCCGCCACCTTCTTCAGGAGTTGAACTCAGAGCCCCACACATACAAGGCAAGTGCTCTCCCACTGAAACACATCCCAGCCCATAACATTTACTTCTCTTTAAGCCACATACTCAATTATCTTTGCAACATAGATCTGCTATTCTCTTTCTGCTTGAGGTGAATTACTTTAAATTATTTCTCTGGGTCACCGAAGGGGAGGATTGAGGAGGGAGGACAGGAAGGATAAAATCCAGAGAGATGTGTATTAGGAAAGGCAGATTGCATAAGCAAATGCTTACCTGCATAATTCCAGCAAGTACTGTGACTGATGCAGCCACCATCACCCTCTGCTCTTCTAGTGATGGATTATTGCTCATTGAGCTATTGGAGTTCAGAGCATTTGTATTCTCATCTGGGACTAATCTCATCACTACAGCTCCTACCATCATACTCAGAACTGGAAATGGACCTAATTAACAGAGGGTGAATTGTGGTCAATATACAGGTTCCCTTAAGGTACAATTGTCTTTCAACTGAAATACATTATATAAAAATGCAACCACCTCTGGCTCAACCCTCCTCCCTCCAGCCCATTTTAATTCTTACAAGAAACTTGCTTTTCTCCTGGATTAGACACAATTTGGAATTTATCCAATATCTGGATGGTGGAATTAATAAAGAAAAAGTAACCTGAATATCAATTAGCCCAGGGATTCACTTACCTACAGATATGTGTCTAGAAGTGCCCAAGAAAAAATAGACTATTATTGGGAAAAAGGCTGCATACAGTCCATAGCTTGGAGGGATGTTGACCAGTAGGGCGTATGCCAAACCTGTAAATACACAAACATTAGGGACCTTATTGCCTAGTAAGGGGACTATAACATCTCTTGTTCTTTTTCTAAGTGTTTAAAGATAGACCTTAAAAATAAGTTACCTTATTAATTTAAATGTACCAAAAATGTAAGTATTAAGAGCTAAAAGAATTATCTCCTAAAAGAAAATATAGGTTTAAATCTTTGTATCTTGACATGAGGCAATGATTCAAATTCTTAGATTCTGTAGTATAAGTAACGAAACAAAAACAGATCACACTAGACTTTATTAAAAATTTAAAGTGTGGGGCTGGAGTAATAGCACAGCGGGTAGGGCATTTGCCTTGCATGCGACCAACCCAGGTTTGATTCCCAGCATCCCATATGGTCCCCTAAGCACTGCTAGGGCTGATTCCTGAGTGCAGAGCCAGGAGTAACCCCTGTGCGTCGCCAGGTGAGACCCAAAAAGCAAAAAAAAAAAAAAAATTTAAAGTGTATGCTTTGAAAGATATTATTAAAAAGTGAAATGGAAATCCATAGAATGGGAGAGATTATTTCAATATATATATGTATATACACACACATATATACACATACAAATGTAGTCATGTATTAATATGATATAACATCCAGAAATTATGACTACCCTCTGCAACTCCAAAATTTAAACTAATTTTTAAGTGTGCAGAAATATTTATATATATATATTTGCATTTTGGGTCATACCCGGCAATGCACAGGGGTTACTCCTGACTTTGCATTCAGAAATTACCCCTGGTGGTGCTCAGGGGACCATATGGGATGCTGAGAATCGAACCCGGTTCAGCTACGTGCAAGGCAAATGCCCTACCTGCTGTGCTATTGCTCCAGCCCCTCCCAAAAGTATTTAGACATTTCTCTTTATATATCTAGATATCTGTACATATCTGTAGATATATAAATAAGTATTTATATATCTAGGGCTATATGTCAATGCATATATTTACTTTTTTGTATGTAGCACTATAGCACTGTCCTCCTGTTGTTCATTGATTTGCTCAAGTGGGCCCAGTAATGTCTCCATTGTGAGACTTCTTGTTACTGTGTTTGGCATATCAAATACGTCAGGAGTAGCTTGTCAGGCTTTGCTGTGTGGGCGAGATACTCTCAGTAGCTTGCCAGGCTCGGAGCGATAGGTAGCACAGCAGGTAGAGTGTTTGCCTTGCATGCGACCAACCCTGGTTTGGTTCCTCCGCCCCTCTCGAAGAGCCCGGCAAGCTACCAAGAGTATCCCGCCTGCTTGGCAGAGCCTGGCAAGCTCCCTGTGCAGTATTCGATACGCAAAAAGCAGTAACAAGTCTCACAACAGAGACATTACTGGCGCTCGCTCAAGCAAATCGATGAACAGTGGGAGGACAGTAAACAGTGCTATTTACAAATATCTACATATATTCTCTAACTATATCTAGAAGGAGCCAGGAAACAAATATAAAGATGATCAACATCATTAATCATTAGAGAAGTACAAATCAAAATCATAATCATAATCACCACACTCACTGAGAAGCTAAAATTAAAACGGCAGGCAATAAGTGTTCGTAAGTTTGTAAAGAAATTTGAATCCCTATACATCTTTAGAGGCTCACCATATAGAACAAATGTACTCTGATATACATACCCAAGAGCACTGAAATGTGTTTCCACAAAAATGTTCTATACAAATGTCATGATAGCATGACTAATAATAACCACAAAATGGGAACAGCCCAAATGTCCATTGACAGATGAATTGACAGAATGAGTCATATCCATACATTAGAATATTACTTATCCACAAGTAACATAAACCCTGAAAACATTATGTGAAAAGAAAGGAACCAAACACATGCACACATATCCTATGAAATGCCCAGAAGAGACAAATCTACTTAGAATGCTGTGGAATGAGAAGTGATTGTCTATGAGGAAGAGAGATGGTTGGGGTGATGTGGTAGAAATGTTATGGACATACATTATGGTAATGGTTGCACAATTTTGTTGAATATACCCACTGAAAGTTTGAAATTTACAATAATCAAGTCATATCTTTTAAAAAATTACCTTGTAGTACAGCCACTAGCCCAGTGCTGATTCCAGAAACAATGTCACTGAGTAGCCATTCTTTCACCTGATATGATGGTAACCAAGATGCTATCGGGAACAAAGAAAGGGCAATTCTCTTGGCCTTTTGTGTGGAACAGCTGGAAATATTGAAAGTACAGGTCATTCAATTTAAATAAAAATTTAAGTTTAGCGCCTTGCTCTTCAAGCCTGTATTCTTCCTGGAACACATATCTCTCTTGCTTGTCACTATGTATCTTTACTTTTTTCACTTTCAGGAAGCATGTTCTCTCTTGAACACGTTCGTACTTCTCTCTCTCTCCTTACCTCTTTCTAAGCAAGCTTTGTGCAATAAAAATTATCTTGCTTCACCGTGAAAAAAATAAGTTTAGAATTTAACTGTAGGGAAATTAATTAGATGGAAAATTAGTAAAGAAAACTATTTATTAAAGAATAAGCTAGTACTTTCACTAACTTTTCTGCTAATACTCATATCCCTATCTCTGGCTAGAGTCAAAGGATTTTTTTAAAAGAAAATTCATAAAGAAAAAAAAAAGAAAATTCATGGAACAGGACAGACATCACAAGGGTTAAGGTGCTGACTTTGCATGCAACTGGTTCTGGTTTGATTCCCAGACTACTGACTGCTAGGGTCCTCAGCACTGCCAGGAGTGACCCCTGAGCACAGAGCCAAGAGTAAACTGCACAAGTATGAGAGAAAGAAAGAGAACAGCTTAAAAAATGTTTTTCTTTAACAAAGTAGAGCTTGTTTGTCATTCACAGCTTGAACTGTAGAACTTTTCGATGAAGAATTTCCTTCTGTCCTTATCTATCAATCCTCTGATAGAAAAACACTGTGTTGAGAACTGAGATGGTATTCATTTTAGAGATGAACTTTCCAACTCTGGCAGGGAATAGGAGGTTTAGAAACCAAAGAAGAGAAAAATGCTGAAGACTGTGGGCTAGATGAGGAACTTCGGAAGTTTGGAAATTTAGAAGAAAGTGCTTCATTTATTCTTCATGCCAATATCTTAAAAAGGATCTTACCTACAACACGCTTTGAGATGATCCAGAAATGTCTTGTGATGTCTGTATTTCTTTTTATGATCTTCCTCAAAGGCATTTTCAGAATACACTGGCCTGGACACGATGTACTGATTCCCAATGGGTTCAATCATTTTGCTTTCCTGGACAGCTTGTGGTGAGTGGAAGACCTTCGCTTGCTTTTAGCAGGTGAAAATGCCTGAAACCAAACAGAACTGGCTTCTTAAATAACTCGGAGATAATGTGATGCAATTTTCAGATGAGTGAGCTCCGAACTGAATGTTACCACCTTTTGAGATCAAAAGAGGCAGGATTAAGGGACCTAGATTGTGTTTTTCAACAGTGTCATCCTTTTTCACTCCAGTGAACTAGATCCTTGGGTAAGTAAACAAGGGCTTTTATTTATTTATCTTTAAGGACCACCAAAGAAATAGAACAACAACCAAAAAATAAAAATCAGTTTATGAGTCAGTGAATGCATTTTTTTTCTTTTAAACTTGCAAACATCTCATCAAGCAAAGGAGGTTATAATTCTTTTCCTACAAACATTTCAAAAGTTATGGTACTGGAGAGATTAGTACTGTTATAGATTAGACTTAAATTTTTCTGTTTTCCCCAAATTTAGTCAATTTATTTTTACTTTAATTTGGTGATACCTTATTAAACTTTAAAAATGTGTGACATTCAAGGATATCACCCATTTAACTTATTTTCCTATTGTTTCTGAGAGAAAAACAGAGTTTTAAAATTTATAGTTGAGTAAACTATGGTACAAAGTTATTTAGATCACTATCTTGGGCAAGCTACTGAAAAATATTTATTTTTCTAGATAATTGGGGTAATTGGGCTAATAAAGCCCAAGATGATTGTGAATATGAAATGTGAATTTTCAAGGACCTAGAATTGTACCTTGCGTACTATAGGTTACTCATTAAATGACTATTTTAAATGAGGATTTTCTGCACAAGGTGTTTGGAAATTTTTATTCTCCTTCCAGTCTCGTATGCCTTTTTAAAGCTCAATTTTGCAAACGCTTTTTATTATGTATTACCCTAATTTAGTCTTGACAATCCTTTGAGGAGCTCACTCTGCTTATTATTGTCTTCTTCTAACAAATGAGAAAATAACAGTACAGCACTGTTCTCCCCTGCCAAACACCCCCCTAACCAAGCAGTTTCTGAGGTTCTGTAGCAAGCATACTGTCAAAAAATGCCGCTTCAATTTTCAGTCTTCTTTCTAATTTTTTTCTATAACATATGGCTTTTCTATTGTCAAGTGTGAACATAAACTGAACATTTCCGCTCACCATTAGCAAGCATTCCCTCATCTCCCTAATCTCAGGTTCCCTATTACTACCTATAATGTCCAGGGTTTTGTTCTTTGACCTCAGTCATAGTTATTAATTGAATTATCTTGCACTAGATTGTTCCTGGTTATAGGGTGCTCTTACAGCTCAAAGGATTTTTTTTTAATTTTTTGCTTTTTGGTCACACCTGGAAATGCACAGGAGTTACTCCTGGTGGTGCTCAGGGGACTATATGGGATGCTGGGAATCAAACCCAGGTTGGCCACGTGCAAGGCAAATGCCCTACCTTCTGTACTATCGCTCCAGCCCTCAAAGGATTTATGTGTTTGCAGAGCTTAAATTATGATCAGGAACTAGATGCTGCCTCAATGTCCGGCCCAATCTGGCCACCTATTTTTCTCCTCCACCTTATTTCCTGGCCCCCTCTAAAGCTCTTTCCACACTCACTTTCTCTGACCACAGCGTGGTTCTTCAGCCCCAGCCTCTGGCTTGACATCCAGAATTTGTGTCTTGTTAAGTTTTGATATGACTGTTCATTCCCTCCTGCCCCTCCTTTCTGGGCCTCCTCCTATCCTGAGCTCCTTTTATTTCTTTCCTCTCATTCCTAGTCTCTTCCTCTTTCCACTTGCTCACTCAGTACTTCTGTTCCAGATATCAGATCTTACTATGGGTAACATATAGTACTTACCATTGTTAGAAGAATTTGCACAGGAAGTGGAGTTGCCACACTCATTGTTATGTCTAGCATAATTTTTTGTCTTTATTGCAAATTACGGTCGGGGTGTCAATAATTAAGATCTAAACCATGTGAATGATACTTGGTACCTTAGATCTTTTGCAAAAGTTGTTTGGACTGTCCTTCAGACTAGCCTTAAGCCTGTGAAATATCCATCCTAGTAAATCATTGGATAAAGAATATTTAATTACCTCACATTTTATTTTGTCAATTGTATTGGATAGAAAGGTTCCACTCTTATATGAGTTTACTCAGTTTTACTAAATTGTTTATGAAAACTCATTAGTTCTCATCCTTTAGTAAGATTCTAAAAGTATTCCTTTTCTTCCATTTGCTGCCAGATACTTTCTCTCTGCTAACCCAGTCTAATGGTTTGGTTTGGTTTTGACAGTTGCATTGATGGCATAAATGGCTTTATTCCTATTGCTTCCTTGAGGATGATCCTGGCAGCTTCCCTGGAGAGAACCATCATATCTTCAGCAGCATCAAAGGATTGTATTCCTGCTGTCCGCCTATAGACCCCAAAATGCATCCTTCTCACACCCAGACACTGACTGCAAAGGAGGATGCTTAAGGAATTGGGAAGCTTAAGAAGTCTACAGAATCTAGAGAGGCGTTACATTTCAGTCCTATTTTTTTCTTGCAGTCCACACCTGGTCCCCAAAGCTCCTGCCTCATATTCCACAAGAAATAAACATTGAGAGTCACTGAATTAATTAAACCAAATGGTACCTCTTCTGAGAAACACTTTATATGGTCATACTTAATGTCATTTTTCTTTTTATAATTTCTGGGATTCTTTTTTTAAAATGTAAATATTTTCTCTCGCTCTCTCTTTTTTTTTTTTCATTTTCTGGGGCCTCCTCCCTAGAGTGTTTAAGAGACCTAGGGCCTGGCAATGTAGCTTGGACACAACAGACCACACCTAATCATGTTGGGGGTGGAAGGTAGGGGTATATGGTACAGGGGATCAAATGTGGGTCCTCCAGTATAGAAGGCAAGCCCTCAGGCTATTTGAGCGTTTCCTCTGCTCACTTCTGAGATTCTTGACAATGGCTTAATCAAGTTAGGAATTCAAAAGAAAGCTATCATTTGATTAGTTTGGGGGCCATATTCAGTGCTAGCTCTGTAGCACTGTAGTACTGTCCTCCCGTTGTTCATTGATTTGCTCGAGTGGGCCCAGTAACGTCTCCATTGTGAGACTTCTTGTAATTGTGTTTGGCATATCGAATACATCACGAGGAGCTTGCCAGGCTTTGCCGTGGGGACGACATACTCTCGGTAGCTTGCTGGGCTCTCAGAGAGGGGCAGAGGAATCGAACCTGGGTTGGCCTGGTTGGCCGTGTGTAAGGCAAACACCCTCGGGCTTAATCCTGGCTCTGTGTTCAGGGATCACTCTTGTCCATGCTCAGGGGTCATGTGTAATGCTGGGGATAGATCAGGATTGGCTGCCTATAAAGCCTTACCCTTTTACTATCTCTCTGACCCCTTTTAAGCATTTTTCTGGGAGGACACTCAGCAGTGCTGAGTTTACTCCTCACTCTGCTCTTCTGGCAGCGCTATCTTAGGTGGTGCCAGAGATACTAAATGGGGTGGGCCATGTAAAAGACAAGAGTTTTATTCCCTAAACTATCTCTCCAGACTCCAAAAACATTTTTATTAACTTTTTTTTTATTCTGAACAAGATAACTTCTCATCACAAAATCTTGGAAAGTTTTTTCTTGGTTTCTGGAAGAATCATAATTTCAGTTTAAAATGTCACACCCATATTCAAATATTGGGCTTTTCACTTTTTTTCTCTCTTAATGCCCAAGATTTCTCTTTGGATTTTTTTTTTTTTTTGCCTTTTCAGGGGATTACAATTCATTCTCAGAGACATCTTCAAATATTTTTAGAATACTAAATCTTGTTTGTACATAGTTTCATTGCCCCCCCTTTCTTATGATGTTATTTTATGTATTTTCTCTTTCTAAGATCTATACAGCTATCAAGATCACGATCATCCTGTTATTCGTCAATTGCCTCAAGCAGGCACCAGTTAAGTCTCCTTCGTCCTAACCCTGAGATTTTAAAAAGTGCCTCATTCAAGGCTCTTTCAGGTTTAGGAGAAATATACAGCTATATATTTTAATATTTACAAGAACACAGAGGTGGTATATGCATGTAAATATAGTATCTATAAAATAAAATTTTAAAGAAGTTATATAGCATCTATATTGCTATCTTGACTTTTTAGGGCTGGAGCAATAGCACAGTGGTAGGGCCTTGCACACAGCCAACATGGGCGACCCGAGTTCAATTCCTCCGCCCCTCTCGGAGAGCCCGGCAAGCTACCGAGAGTATCTCGCCCACACGGCAGAGCCTGGCAAGCTACCCATGAGGTATTCAATATGCCAAACACAGTAACAATAAGTCTCAGGATGGAGACGTTACTGGGCCCGCTCGAGCAAATCGATGAACAACGGGAGGATTGTGACCGTGACTTTTTAAAAAATCCTAAGGCTTAATCATATTCATTTGTCTTTCCATGCCTTCTTTTATTTTTATGAGCAGAAATGTAGTACTGGGATTAATTTCTGAAGTTCATTTTTTTACAGTTTAACTCTCTGGTTTATTAATAACTTTTTATCTCAAGAGACTAGGGATGGATACAGATATATCTTTGTCTTTGCTCTCCACTACCCTCCAAGTTCTACTCACCTCCACACTACAACCCTGACACTCATCAACCCTCTGCATTCCACCCTGCCTGCCCCACTCCCCACCACCCGCCCAGAGTAGAGCCTTACTACTTTCCCTTCCCCCTCCTTCTCATTCAGCTACTCCGTGTTCAAGTCTCTCGAAGGTTTACTGCTATTGTTTGTTTATTTTTGTTTTTTGCTTTTGGTTTGGGGGCCACACCCAGTGGTGCTAGGGATCCCGGGACCAATATGAAACCCGGACCTGCTATCCAAATATCCAGCCTGCTGTACCATAGCTCCTGCCCCAGTTTTACCGTTTTACTGAGGTACAACTTGACTTGACCAAAGACGCTCAGAAGCAGTGCTAGCATTCGTCTTGAGTGAGTGGTCACTTGCAATCAGGAAGCTAGC